AGAACTCAATAAATAATAACTCTCCTGTGCAAAAAAATGTAATATTCCACCAAATATCATGTATTCCATACAATTACAAGAAAATCATTGATGCAAAGCATCAAAGGGCGACGCCAAAAGAATTTGATCCAGATTTGCACCTAAATACTTAACAAAAGATGTGTACTTTATAGCAGTACCATTACATGTGACCTGGAGGCTAGGGCCAGTTTAAGTTGAAACTTAAACCAAAAAAGAATAGACTCTGTCTTGCCAAGATGCAAAGACAATTTATAGTCAATTAAGCAATCTTAAAAGACTCATGCTATAAGAAAGAATTTCTTCAGATTTATTTTATGAGACACAAGGATTCCTGAGTCATCAGCATATAATCACAGGCACGAGTATCGGACCTGGGAAGAAAAAATATGACCAGATGACCAGATTGATAAAAAAACTGTGTTTATAAAAACCAAAAAAAAAATGTAAATAATGATCCCCTTTAAAAATATACTATCAACTTGAAGTATATTTTTAAAGGGGGTCATTATTTACATTTTATTTTGGTTGTTGACACTTTTAAGATGAACACAGGTTTTTTATCAATCTGGCCATATTTTTTCTTCCAAGGTCTGATACTCGTGCCTGTGCATTATAATAAAAGCTTACTGCTTAGGGTTGAAGACATGTAATTGACATATATTAGACATAAAAGAGGACCTAAAATGAACATCAGGGGACAGCATAGGTACTCAGAGCAGTAGTAGAATGAGTACCAGCCACATCAACCAGCTACTATCAGAGATAATACTTAAACCATGTAAGAATGTCATTATATATGGCAGATGCTTGAAGTTTCATGAAGAAGAAGAAAAACAACTTCTTCATGTGCAGTATAGTGTGTTCAACTGTATCAAATGCCCTTTGTAGATCTAAAAGTATCATGCAATACTGCCTTTGTCCATTTCAAATAATGCAATCTGTTAAATGAATCAAACATGTGTCAATTGAAAAACCACTTCTAAACCCTGACTGAAACTGCCTGACCATGACTCGAACCCATGACTTTCAGAAGACCAACTGAGCTATCCGGCCTGCTACACATTTTCTCTTTAATAATGAAACAGTTCTAAACCACAACATATTTCCCCACTATATCATATGTGTTCGTGAATTTCTTATGTTACAGAGCATAGGAAATTAAACTCATGCTTATATGCAGTCACAGGATGAGAAAAACTTTGAGCTTGACCAGAACTCAAACCTGTGACCAACATAAGAAATTTTATGAAGGCTGATTTGTATTTTGCATCAAGGGCACCGAGCAAAAACATGAAAATGCAGCAAACAAACCACTTTGTGGTAGATTGTATTTTCATGTTTTCATCTGGCGCCCAGTTACTTTTTGTACTATGTTGGTTTTCATGTGGCACAAATCACCCACTAGAAATTTAGTGCACAATTTATTCAAGGGCAAGTAACAATCTACTCTATGTACAGTCTGTTGTCGGGTTGACTCAGGAGACCTGGAGGTTGAGACCGGTGTCCCTTCATTACAAATAGATAAGACAGAAGCTGTCCTTTTCAAACTATGCACATGTTAGAAAAAAATAGAATAACTATTCAGAATATGATTTTTTGAGACTTTATTAATTATATTGCTTGATCCAAGTTTAAGGACATTTTCAATCAATACATGTTTTATCATTTATAACTTTAAATGAAAGTCTCATCCCTTTAATAATAATGACATAACTGTATCTCTTTAAATGCAGAAAAATTATAAGTCTCAGCATATCAATATACTACTGTCTATAACATGTATGCACATAACATTAATAATTCCCAGTTTATATTAAATAAATATGAAATCCTAACATTAACATTAACATGCTTTTGATGACCTTACAACTGGTGAATTATATACAACAAAAATAGTATTATAAGTAATACCTAAGATAGACAGAAAAGAACAAATAATTTAGTAAACATGAGTTATTTCCCCTTACAATAAAGAAAACCTGAAACCCAAAAGAACACCCTAAACAGCAAAATTATGAAATGCTGCAGGTTCAGTTTTATCAAGCCATGCAAATTAATGGTAAAGTATTCATAAAAAAATAGATGGCCATGTGTCAGCAGTAATTGCAGAAAATCGGATAGCTTTCAACATCCGGATACTGGTACACTTTGTAAAAACAACCATTCTGCGCAACAGATAAATGTAATAAGGATAAAATCAATAGGATAATCGTTTACAACAGTTCCATTACCTATCCTTATACTCAATTGCAGGTTAACTTTCTTCTTGTAGGAAAATTTTGAAAATGTATAAATGAATGAATGAACTGATACGGCCTCAATCTAGACCACAACGATATTCGAAATCCGGGTTTTAGTATTGTCATTAAAACTAAGGGACAAGCTGTTAAACTTAACCTGCAATTTCGTGAAAATAATATCACAATGCACAGGCTTTTTACATAAAGTTATTAAATACAAATATAACAACACATTTGTTTACTTGATTTTTACGAATCAAAATGAAACTAATTAACACAACATGAAATTAACTGCTAATAATAAAAGCTCCTTCCATAGGCAAAAATAAAAAGCATTCCATAATAGACGACGCCGCTCACCGGCGTCGCCAACAATAACCAAAATAACATCTATACTGAATGACTTCAAACACACTACCGCCTAACACTGATCATAACATCCTTAAAAAGTCTATATTCCTTTATCAAAATTTAAAAAAACCCCAAAAAAGTCAAATATGTCAATAATAATAATAATAATAACCTTTTTTTTGAGAAGGTGACATATTAAGAGTTACATTATAAACATACAACCTTATTTTCAATATGGGGCCTTCTATACATAAATAAACAAGAAAACAGAAATAAATAAAACAGCATTTATAATTACGATCAAATACTTGCAAAATACATAGCATTTTTTGTGGATTATAAATAATAACTTATAGAAATTAGTATCTTAACTTCGTATGCACATGCAATCATCAATCAATGTTAACAAACAAAACAAAAACAAAAACTCCATCAGTATTTGCAACACATTGACGGCACCATTGACGAAAATAAATTTCTGTTGAATTGTGCTGTGAAAACAATATAGAATGATGGAAAATGGTCTAAGAAAATAAACCCAAACAACAATATTTTTAATTCAGTCATTACCGCTGTACAGACGTTTTAAAAGACAAGAATAAAGATCAACAAGGCAAAGGCAACGTTCACAGGACGCAGCCCCCGACACACCCAAGTAGGGCACCCTGAAGGCACCAAACAAAAACCTGGAGTGGACATAAGGGCGGTGAAAGAAGAGGGACATGTAATGCGTTAAATAATATAAACTAAAACTGGTCCATATGGAAATTAAAGGGATAAGGGCTGTAAGGGTGAAAAGGGGAGGGAGTTAAAAAACGGGAGGGTTTGTGAGAAAATACCTACCGTAAACGACAATCCAACAAGGCAGACATCACAAAACATGTAAACATTCAAAAAAAAGTAACTACACAGACATGAAAAACACGTGAAGGAACACAGAGGGGTACCGCCTTGGAACGGTCAGTGGTAGTTGAACCACTGGGGAGTTTAAACCGGTTTACGTGACGTCACAATGCAGCGCCAAGCAGCTCGTGCAACAACCGACAAAAGAGAACGTTATTTCAATGCTTCAACTTTTATTTCACTATAAATACTCTGTATTTCGCTTGGAAAATATAAAATTAAATTAAAATAACAAAAAAAAACACACAAAAAATCCTTATCAACGTTATCAACACTTGTTCTTCTCAAAATGTTTGGGCAAACGGTTCCAACCAAATGGAACAGCTTTTAACCCATTCCTGCATGGGCATTTTGTGAAAATGGCTGTTTTCATTGAAAAGTCTCCTGTTACAATGTCAAATTGCATTGAAATTATAAAATAAGGTTTCAAAACAAATGTTGACTGGACTAGCCTTTGTAACGGCTTACTCAATCTTAAATTTCCTGTTACCATGGCAACGAGGGAACATCTCAAAGTTGCCAAAAATAACTATTTTGCGTTGTTTTTTCCCCCATCAATACTGATTTTGAAGTGCTGCAACTTCTCAATGGATTGAGATAAAGTAAAGGCTTTTCAGCGTTGGTTACACGTTACCTGAGGCCATTTTTAGCCTGTAAAATACCAAACTTTTCTTGGCAATGATGGGGACTACCGCCCCCTTCGAACCCCCAAACAGAGTGAGGCCCTTCTGGCAACCCCTTATATGAATAAACTAGCTATACATTAAATCGTGAATATATTGTAAGTATTGAAATTAAATCATACACAGCCTTTATAAAAGGTGATATTATGCGGAAATGTATCTCTGATTAGAAAAAGAATTGCTTCTTGTAACACTTATCAAACTTGTGATAGTCCTACTCAGGATCAAACATTAAAACTAATCAACTTGAAATTGATGACGAATCATACAATATGAGATTTAATATTTAGGCAAGAATATTTAAGTTCATGTTAGATTTTTATTTTCTAGAATTAAGTCGTTTGTTCAGTATGAAAATCATCTACGCAATTGACATGCTATATGCGTTTTTACGACTTTAATACACATCACATTAATTTGTGATTGCATTCCATTCATGGTTGTTAACAGTTTAAATTTCTTTGCACTTAATTTGAATAAATTTCTTCTTCCTTATTTGTAAATTCATTATTTTGTATAAAAGAACCTTGTGATAATCTGGGACATAAAATGTTACCGTATATAGCCCAGCATATAGATTTATTGGTCATCTATAACTATACAAATATCTATCTTTACACCTGTGACAGTATAGAAACTGTTTCAAAATGATTACTTTATGCAGACAATAAATGTTTTAATATTTTCAGTCAAAAAGTCAAAAATCGTTGTCCGAAAAGTACCATTCTCGACGTCCATTTTGTAAAAAGACGCTGGAAACATGCGCACGCATGTACACACAATCCTGTGACGTAACAAACAAATCCCTTAACTACGCTAATCGCTTTTCACTGGATATAGTGCCAACGTAGAGTGAAGTCGGTCGAGTATTTGAAATCGGAGTTTATCTTTCGAAAAAAAATAAGCTCTCTTGGAATATAATTCAAAATGCCTTTGCCTAAGAATGGCAAGAGTATTTTAATGACTCCAGACCCTTATCACACTCCGGGGTAAGTTTGTTTACTTGTTTTTACATTCTTTCGAGCGTTTTTATATTTAAGTTTTGATAAAATCATGCGTGTATAAAAAGTCTACCGATATTAAATCAGTTTGTATTGATATACAAAAGAAATAAGTTTAGAAAGCATAACAAATGCCCTAATCGTTAAAAGTATATATCGATTTGGAGAAATTTGATATTATTTAAATAACTTGTAATTGAATGCATTTAAATAGTTCGCACTAATTGATAATATACAAAGATTGGTTAAGTTTTTGCATTGAAAAGTAGGCAAGAGTTAGTTGTAGTTTTTAACAATTATTTCAATGTTTTCTTCATGTACAGCTATAGTATTAATATGGAAAAAAAGGAATTTGAAATAGTACAAATCAGGTTTATTAGTGCATAGAACGCCGCCTTTCCTTGTTGATCTTGTTTATCATATTCTAGAGAATTTGAAACAACCAAGATATTTTGAATAGAATATAGATTTCAAGTTGTTTTATTTTATGATAAAAACCTATTTGGAAATTAGCAAATTCTAGATTTGAAAAATATACATCACCGCAAAATCAGTGGTTGTTGTAGTTGTTATTGTTGTTTTTAATAGCTGAGATGTTACCCTTGGCAACATAATATTCTATATTACAAAGATTCATTTATCTTCACGGACTGTTTCTACTTTTTCCATGTTTATTATTATAGGATCCGAAGTTTGGTTTTTATCCTCTTTTATCTAGGTGAATTATTTCGGGGATGAAAGCTTTGTAAGGCCACATGTGTCACAAATCACATTCGTCACAATTGTGAAGAATGAGATCACATTCGTCACAAATTTTGTGATGCATGTGATCCAATGTTTTAGACAATCACATTCGTCACGAGTTTAAAATCACAAATGTCACAAATTTGAGATAAATATTGTTTTCTTCAATGCTTTTCACTGAGTCACAAACGTCACAAATTTTTAGGACTGAAATCAATTATTGGAACTAAAACTACAGACATTTTTATCCCCTCCCCCGCTGATGAAATCGGGAGTGATGGGACTGTTTTAGCGTGTTCGTCCGCCTGTCAGTCCAGATTTAGTTTCCGCACTATCCGGCCATTGATTAGTTATTATACACTGTATATGGAATCATTTCGTTTCCACGCTATTTTTCAGCAACTTCTGGATGGATATCGATGCTGCAACTTTGTAGGAACCTTCATTCTTAAACCAGTTGCACATATAACCAGCATATCTCCATTTCTTTTTAAAAACAGACTTATTGCCCCTTGTTGTTGTTGTTATTTATAAAACACTGTATATAGAACTATTGCTTTTCTGCGCTCTAGGAATTTCAACGAAATTTAGTTTAATATAAAGAGGAGATGCGCATCTCGAAAAATCTCGACGGGACACTAAAGGATTTGGTCCGACTTGAGGGTACGGTCGCTTATATGGGCTTTCCGGCGGCGACTTTAGATAAACACATAAACAAACAAACAAGATGTGCATATCATCATCATCATCATCATCATCATCAGTATTTCCCGTTTGGCCGTTGAATAAATAAGGATTATTTTGCTTGCAGCGTTAACGTTTGCCGTCATATTGTTTACGCGCGCGTAGTCTCCGCGCTTCAGTAGTAAACGGTCTAAAAGCACTTTTCAAAAGGCACATAAAATAAAAAGAAAATGTGTTTGCTTTTCGTGAATATGAACTATATCTCACATCGAAGTGAGAAAATGTTCATATTTTCACTCGCGCTACGCGCTCGTGATACATATTTCATTTTTTTTCTCACTTCTCAGTGAAATATATTTCATATTCACTCAAAACAAACAAATATCCTCTATAAAATTCACTAAACACCGTCGTTTGAAACTATCTAATCATAAAAGGCGAAAAAAGTTAAGACGCGTCGAAACGATAAAGCGGCCCGCCACAAAGACACGATCTGTTTAAACGAATTAACTATATTATTATTACTAGTGGAATAGATATGGAAAGTTCCATAGAGCGTCTGCAAGCAATTGGCACAGACTTGCAAAATCGTCTCAGGAAAGAAGGTTCCTAGATGTCAAAATGTCATACTCTTTAATTGAACCAAGATTCCTGAAAGTCTGCGGAAGTCAAAAGTCTGTCAGACCAAAAAAGGTTCATTGATGTCAAAAGGTCCTAATCTCTAATTAGATATCCTGAAAGTCAACGGGGTCTCAGCTACTTCCCAAACAATCATATATGGTCTCATTGGTGTAAATATGGTCATAATTTGTACTGAAACTAAGATTAAGTCTGTGAGATTCCTTTAGACTGTCGCTGTATGGTGGGAAGAAATTTGAGGGTTCACAGAGGTAAAAGATCACTTCCAGTTGAAGTCTGATACTATGCCGTGCATTGTCACCAAAATTTTTTGAAGGTTTCGAGAACGTAAGACGACTTGATAGCAATACCATTACGACAATGCGACAGTTCTATGAAGACAATACAATGCCGACGATACGATATTGCAACAAGTTAGTACGATGGCGATAATGCAATGGTGGTGAAAAGATATTGGTATCGTGATGTCGACATCACAATATCGATTTATTGCATTGTCGCCCTTGTACTATCGCACTGATATAACCACGATTGTCCTTATGATATTCCGTGTATCACATATTGAAAAATAAACTTGTGACATTTGTGATTCGCCTGTTTAAAAATTCTCAATTTTGCTTGTGACGTTTGTGATTGGCATTTTTACCCGATTTTGGTCAATCACATTCGTCACAAAAGTCATTTGTGACGAATGTGATCACATTCGTCACAAATTCATAAAAACTTGTGACGAATGTGATTTGTGACACATGTGGCCTAACAAAGCTTAATGGTTTACTCGGATATTAACATTTCTACAGACTGGCTTCAGTTTCTTTCACATCAACAATTTCTCCCATTCCATTACGACAGCAGCATCTTTAAGCGGCATTATATTAGCAACCGATATATTGCGAAATAAAAACAACAATCATATATACCATTTATGCTATAATGTATATGTATAATCGTTTTATATTTACAAAAAGTATGTCGCTGAGATAGGACATTAAGAGATTAAGTGTTCGCCTTGTATAGAAAGTGTTACAAATATTGGTATTTCATATATCAGGTATATAAATACATGACAAAACACATTACAATACTGATAATTAAATATGTATTAAGTTTATTTCTCTCACTGGTTTAAACAATTTGTCCTTTTGTGTTTAGTGTATATAATGTTTAGAAACAAAAAATCTTATAAAAAATAGCTAAAATCGAACCATTAACATACCGTCATATCGTATCTTTTATAAAAAGCACATGTCACTATTTGATATAGTTAAATTGATATATATAGACGTCGGCTGGAATTAAATAAAGACTGAACTATCAGAATAATACGACTTTAATTGATGTTTTGAATATACGTACTTGGTATTATTAAGGTGTTTGTAATGTAACTGAATTATGACCTAAAATATAAAAGTAGACAGAACATACAATTTAAACATGTTAATTTCAACATTTTGTTAACGAAATTATTTGTTAAAGATATTACTATAGTAAGTAGGAATGATAAAGATAATGCACAGATGTGACACAAAACATGTGTGTATTGTACACTATTGACAAGAGACCATATAACATATTAGAATATCAATTTCAATAGGTAAACGTTTCTAAAATATAAAATTCAAACAATGTATATATGACTTGCTCGGATTAATGAAATCCGTATATATCGACACAGCTAATCCAGAATTGATCGGGTTTAGATAAAACTGTTCTAATATGCCAGTCAAAAGTACCGTTTATATTTTCTTTATGAATGAATTGTTGGGTTATATTTTAGATAACAGATAACGGTTTGACTTTTAAAAACTTTTTGACTGTCAATCGGTAAGCCAAAGGTAAATAAAAGAAAAACGATTGAAATGTTGGAATGTCGTTAAATGAAAGTTGGGGGTAATTAATGTTGCTTAACATTGCATTGTATGTTACTGTATAACTGTATAAATAATAAAGAAATGATAAAAAAACAAGTTTTATTGGTATATTTAGCCAAGATATACATTTTATATAAACTAAATGTTATTTTACAGCTCTACAACGCAGAGTACTGAGTGACAAATACATAAACAACTAATTGGAAATGTTCGAGAAAATCGACATATTCTTATTGTCGTAGCAATATTAAATGTAAATTTATAACTTTAAAGGTTCTGTATGAGGTGTTTTTCGAAACCACGTATTTTAAGTAATGAGCCGACTCAATACCGACTTTTATACATATTATCCGAAAAAATTCAGAGATGCTCAACGTATTTGTAAGTAGTGCTACATTCAGGCATTCGGTACAACTCGTCACTTACCAATAATCATCTCGGAAGTAGTTCCACCGCGTGACATTGGTGTTAACAAAGCTTTACACAATAAGTAACTGAGCAATTTATTGATAATAAAATATTTGAAAATGAACAAAGTTTACTTTCGATAAAAGTATGCTGAAAACAATATCCCCGGCAGTTTGAATCAATTTACCATTTACTTTCGATAGTAATAATTTTGCCATTCGTACTTCCGGTTTGTCAAAACACAATTATCAGCACATATTTAAAAGTACATGTAATGTGTGTTTTACTTTAATGTCTTTGAATTTATATTATGTAAATCAATGTTATTACCATATAATAAAATAAAATGTACAGCTGTAACTTATATTTTATTATAGCACAGGTTAAACCGATTTATTTGAAGTATGACGGAAATGGCCGAAAAGTTCCGATATTCTTGAATAAAACAAATTATGATTGCGACTCTATAAAAATGGTATTGCACGACCGAGCATATATTTTGACATGACGCCATTTGCGTTATACACGCTAAATGTTAGCGTTGCAATAAAGGCGCGTCAATGAAAACTGATTCATTTCCACTTTATTTTGGGTAGAACTATGTGACAATTTGAATATTATACTCGTGTAGGTTCATTACTGTAATTATTGAACTCATTGAATGAACTAATATTACACATATTGTCTTGAAAGTTTGTTTTAATTCATTGAAAATTAGTATTGAAAATGTATTGTTTATGCACTATCAATGTAATATCACACTATTTATGATTATGATTATGTACTATGTACAAGTCAAAATAAAATTATGTTCTGTTCTGTTCTATTATAGAGGCTTCTATAATAAAATTTAAGTAACTCATTCAATAAATTTAGTATGGGTTCACTCATTCAATATCCATTATAATCATGACCGCGATTTATAAAATAATCGGAAGTAAGATGATGTCAAAAATGTGTAGTGTTCAGTTTGGTCTTATATTGTAATCGATCTTAAAATCTAATATTTTACTGTTCTTAAAATATATATCCTATTTAATTCTATATTAAACAGAAGGAAATGGGAATATATATGCCGAGTTTTTATATAAGTACTGTACGTATAAAAATCAAATTTAAGTACTGTGATGTTGCCAACCGATTTTCTCATTTCAGTTCTATTTTCTTCCTGTAATTCCAAATCGATTTAACCGTTTGTTATTTGTTTGCTCAAATGAAGAAAACTATCGACCAGCAGAAAATAACAAAAGTCTCCAGGCCTTATCTAAAATAATTATAGCATGTGCTCGTTTTTATATGTTAAAAGAAAGAAGCTGAACAAATAACTGTGGGCATTAAATATACACAGGGAGACATAAAAAATTATATAGTGGTGGTGGTATAAGACCGTTGTTAGTTTACCTCCATATAATTATGTCCTAACATGTTGTATTCCGACAAAAATGAACGCTATTTGTACCCGTTTCTGTAGTATATACAGTATGAACTACATGTACTTTAGTAAATTTTGCATCATATATGATGCTGTAAACTTAAGCTGTATAAACTTAAGCTTTATATACTCAACCTGTATGTACTTTAGCTGTATATACTTAAGCTGTATATACTTAAGCTGTAAATTTAAGCTGTATATACTTTAGCTGTATATACTTTAGCTGTATATACTTTTATGGTGTATATACTTTACCTGTATATACTTTAGCTGTATTACTTTTCCTGTATATACTTTACCTGTATATACTTAACCTGTATATACTTTACCTGTATATACTTTACCTGTAAACTTATGGTTTATATACTTTACCTGTATATACTTTAGCTGTATTACTTTACCTGTATATACTTAAGCTGTATATACTTTACCTGTAAACTTATGGTGTATATGCTTTACCTGTATAAACTTTAGCTGTATTACTTTACCTGTATGTACTTAAGCTGTATATACTTTACCTGTAAACTTAAGTTGTATATACTTTACCTGTATATACTTTACCTGTATATACTTTACCTGTATATACTTAAGCTGTAAACTTAAGATTTATAAACTTAAGCTGTATATACTCAACCTGTATGTACTTTAGCTGTATATACTTTACCTGTATATACTTAAGCTGTATATACTTAAGCTGTAAACTTAAGCTGTATATACTTAAGCTGTAAATTTAAGCTGTATAATTATACTTTACCTGTAAACTTAAGTTGTAAATTCTTAAGCTGTAAACTTAAGTTGTATATACTTAAGCTGTAAACTTAAGCTGTATATACTAAAGCTGTAAACTTTGTTTGTTTTGTTTTGTTTGTTTGTTTCATTTTACGCATTTTTCCAACAGTATTTCAGTCATATAGGCGGGTAGTTTCCTAACCATCGTTCCTGGAGAGTTACAGCAGTACTAGACTACCTTCCTCCGCGCTAAACTACCAAAGCATCTCCCGGGGATCGAACCCACGCCAGAGAGGTAACTGGATTAGAAGTCATCGACTCTAACCCCTCGACCACGGAGGCGGCTCCGAAGCTGTAAACTTAAGCTGTATATACTTAAGCTGTAAACTTAAGCTGTATATACTTAAGCTGTAAACTTAAGCTGTATATACTTTACCTATATATACTTTAGCTGTAAACTTAAGCTGTATATACTTTAGTTGTAAACTTAAGCTGTATATACTTTAGCTGTAAACTTAAGCTGTATATAATTTAGCTGTATATACTTTAGCTGTATATATTTTACCTGTAAACTTATGGTGTATATACTTTACCTGTATATACTTTAGCTGTATTACTTTACCTGTATATACTTTACCTGTATATACTTTACCTGTATATACTTTACCTGTATATACTTTACCTGTAAACTTATGGTGTATATACTTTACCTGTATATACTTTAGCTGTATTACTTTACCTGTATATACTTAAGCTGTATATACTTTACCTGTAAACTTATGGTGTATATACTTTACCTGTATATACTTTAGCTGTATATACTTTACCTGTATATACTTAAGCTGTAAACTTAAGTTGTATATACTTTACCTGTAAACTTAAGTTGTATATACTTAAGCTGTAAACTTAAGTTGTATATACTTAAGCTGTAAACTTAAGCTGTATATACTTTACCTGTTTATATACTTAAGCTGTAAACTTAAGTTGTATATACTTAAGCTGTAAACTTAAGTTGTATATACTTTACCTGTAAACTTAAGTTGTATATACTTCAGCTGTAAACTTAAGCTGTATATACTTTACCTGTATATACTTAAGCTGTAAACTTAAGTTGTATATACTTAAGCTGTAAACTTAAGCTGTATATATTTTAGCTGTTTATTTTAGCTGTATACATTGCCGCAATGGTTTCCTATTTGTGAAACAAATTCAAATGTTAAACGTAGACTAGAGAAAATACTTGAAAACCAATATAACAAAAAACCGATTAACAATTAAAAAGCTATTAACTTGTCACTTTAAAAGAGGTATAGATAGAGACACACTTGTATGTGGAGCGAGTCAATAAATCGAAGGTTTTAACTACAGACTGCAGCACAAATCAATGAAAATACATGAAACAGAAGAATAGAGAGGTTTTTTCAATTAACAATGTGACCATGAACATTTCGGTCGCTGTCAGTTTGAGAATATAGTATTTAATAACTGTTTTAGTGCCTTAACAACGCGTTGGCCCACACTTGTAAATCATTGACATAGATTGTGGTGATAGATAACATTGAAGACTTCAACACTTCAATTTAACACATAAATTTGCAAACTTTCTATAAATCTTTTCTTATACAAACTACTACAGAAGATAAATAAACGTTTACAAGCTTTAAATCATAATTCAAACTATTTTGACAATATCATGTATTCTGGAACTGTTTTGGACACTTTAATGTATTGTAAAACAGCCTGGCCTTTTGACTCCTTCGATTTTCAGATATATCAGTTTTATCCCAGTGACTACATATTGAACTAGAATAGGGGAAATAATGGCCGGACCTACTTGTGACAACTGACTCAATGGTATATTCTATAATAGCCTGAAAATGATGACTTAATTCGACGCCGTGAACTAGGTTATAGTGTTTATATTTTGTGTAATGCGTTGATTACAAGCTGATTGTAAAACAATTGATGTATTTTTAGATATGGAGGATTCTGTCCACAATTCAAATACCAAATAGGAGAAACATTCGGTAAAACAACTTCCAAATTGCTACGGAATGACGCTGTGGCCAGTTCCGGTCAGTTGGTGTTAGCAGAGATTCGCGCAAACTCCGCACCATGTCCAGAAACTGACACTAGGTCGGATCTTCTCAAGTCTCGAACGCATAGCTGGGGAGATCAAAAGTTGATGGAACAAATGGTACCCGGCTACACAGGTAAAACACTATCACGTTTATAACAGGTTCCACGATTTCATGTTTGTTATAATTATCTTGAAGTGATTATACCATAACATATAGAGTTTGTACTCATGCAAGCAAGAAAAGAACTTATATTTGTCTTATGTATTGTAGGATTCATTCCTCGCAGTGAGCATTTCTTCGGCAAGCGTTACGCTGTCAACTGTAAAGGTGCTATCACAGATTTTGAAGGTGACCATAGAAAACATAAACAAAATGCTGAAGAACTTCGGTTAACAGAAGCTATACAATCAGGAAAACTTGATAAAACTGCTGTTCCTAACCTCCCAGTAAGTATTAAGTTACCCCCACTACCTTTCATTAAAATGAATTGGGCCCTTGTTCAAATTGAAAAATAGGACTGTTCCGAGAAAATACATATAGATCTAGAATATCTCGGAACAGACTCGTCTACTGTATTTACTTTTAAATCGAATATCAAACTCCTATGCAGGAATGCTAAGATAATGCCACGTGATAGACGTTTTATTTGTCTGCTGTTTCAGCCTATTCGCAGCAGATACATTACCCCGTTGAAACCAACAGCAGCAGAGGCGAAACCTTATATTTCGCCTAGTATGGTAAGGAGTGCAGAATCTCCCTTCTACATGGCAGACGACAACGAGATGAAGAGATTTATGTCAGGTACGTCATTAAATACATGCAACATATGCTAATTCAATTAACTCTCTATTACAAATCCTGTAAAAATATGCTTCTATAAAAGATAAATGTTTATAAAACATAAAAAAATCGTTCATCCTAAGACTTAAATAAATTATCATCTGATATTGAAAATGTCATGTTGTTTACATTACCATGACTACATTTATTACAGGATATACCGGTTTTGTTCCACGTGCGAGACCCCGTCTAGGTATGGGTTATCCTATTATCACCCACGACGCCCTGAATGAGTTCACATCCGACACAAACCGTCTGAAGAACCTGCAATCCGAGGCAATTACAATCCACCGTCCGGAGAACAAAGTCCAAGACACAAAACTCATTTATCCAGTAGAAAGCGGGCTTGTACCTCATTATACTGGTCATATACCAGGTAAATCTTTTTATCCTGTCACTAATTCTTGTATCAATTTCGGCCCGATAACAAGGTGCCGTATATTTTTACTGATCTACGGCACTTGATCACGTGGTATGCATGTTTGCCGGACTACTTTTCAAGAAACAATATAAAAACTGTCGTTAAATCTTCTGTGTGTAGAATAACGAATTTTGGAAACGTTGATAAAACTTTGTTTGTTTATTTTATTTCACTCTATAATTTTTCAAGCGAAATTAAAATTATTAAAAGTGAAATAAATGTTAAACTTAACTCGTTTGCGACATTAAAATAGCGTACTTGATTTGATTGTTTTGCGCGTGCTGTTTGGCGCTACATTGTGGCGTCACGTAAACGTCTGTACAGCGTTAACGACTGAATAAAAGATATTGGTGTTCGAATTCATTTTCTTAGTTAGACCATTTTCTTTCATTCTAGATAGTTTTTACAACAAAATTCGACAAACTATCTATTGTCAAATAATCGCTGTTACATTACATTCCCTCCTTTCATTGGACATTTTCATCTGTTGTCACTCTGTCTCCCACATTCAATACCTCTACCTACCTACATCATTCATATACAGTTTTAGTCTGTAATCATGTTGTCACTTTCATTGCTAACCTAGTTTCCAGAAAACGTAAAGTTGTTATACTTGTGTTTGAAATGTAGTTGTGGTGGCGTTTCCCAGTTAGCGAATTCAGCGTTGAAATGGACCATGACTACCTCCATCACGACACAGCTGTCTCCAAGAACAACTATCCTATATTTTCTTTATTAACTAATATGTTGATCTGATTTCAATCTTCTTTCATTTCTAGACCTTATATCTAGTTGAAACATATTTGTTTTAAATCTGAATCGCTGTTTAGATGAAAATTGGAGGAAAAATAATCTGTTTCATGATGAAACGGTCCATTTCAACGCTAAATTCGCTAACTGGGAAACGCCGCCACAACTACATTTCAAACACAATTATAACAACTTTACGTTTTCTGGAAACTTTAATCAAATCTACATGGCATAGCATTCTCCGAATTTCGATATTTGGTGTAGAGTTTACAAAATATATAAAAAATGAAAACACTTGACACTTGATTTTAGCGACATGCACTAGCTCGGAAGTAGCGATAGAGCGATTTACCGTATACCTCCGAAAGAGGTAGCTCTATCATTTACCAGGCGTGCTTTCCTTACAACACTTGTCATTACACAAACAAGTTTTGCCTACTTCATACACATACTGGAAAATATATCTTAGTTGTAAAAGTATATCGCCATTTTTACTAAACACATATATGTGAATAATTTGTTATTACATGTAGTTGCTTAATTATATTCTGACATAGATTTATCATATTGATACCCACTATATTTCTTCATTTTGTCTTATAAAATACTATTTCATTAATATTTTAGGTCAAAAATTCCGGTATGGTGGCACATTTGGACACAGTACAGAAAATGCCAAAACATCAGAGCTTCGAGCATCAGTGTGTTGATTTGGTTTTACGGACATTTTAATTTCATTTAAAATTATCTGAAAATTACTTACGAGTATTTTAAGTATGTGTTACACACACATTCAAACAAGTATTATAATATACTGTTCAGAGATATTTTTATGACTGTATTATATATGTTTTGTTCAATTAAAACAACTTCTCAAAATTATGTAACATTACAGAGTTTTTCCCTATCATAATCAAGCATTGTATGAAATTGTGTGCAATTTATTATTAATAATAAAACATATATAGATTGTTATGTAGTAGATCTGTTAAGTATTATTTAATATGTTTACATATTTTATAGACAGTGAAACATTCTATAGTTTAACATGGCCAGTTGTAATAAATAATGCACTAAATTTATATATTTTGACATGTTTTCTACTAAGGTAATTCCAGCAGAACTGTTTCTGAAATACTTCTTCATCTTAAACATAATTATATTTTATTAGTTTGATTATTTCTATTTCAATAATTTGTTAACAGTAATCCAATGTGTAGAAGACTGACAAAACTTTCATGTTCCCACAATAGGATAGATAATGGCCACATAATAAATAAACTAGAAATTACTTATTTTTACAATGATGATAGTTATCACACAACTTATCTGTGTATAATATTCTAGGATTGACTTTTCACTGACCAATGCTCATACTCTGTGATAATGTTTTTTTCATGTTTTGATTAAACTGTTTAAATAACTTATGTTTGTTGTTGTTTTGTATGTCAGACTAACACAGTGTAAGGTAATATAGCAACATTCTAGCCTGGACTAGTTGGTCTAACACAGTGTAAGGTAATATAGCAACATTCTAGCCTGGACTAGTTGGTCTAACACAGTGTAAGGTAATATAGCAACATTCTAGCCTTGACTAGTTGGTCTAACATAGGAAATCAATGATCTTAGCATAAAGGTTGTCAACATACAAGTTGAATGGAGATCTATAATTGGTAATAAAGCATTAAAAAGATAACTGTGTAGTTAAATTTAAATTTTCTTAAAGTAAAACAACAATTTATATTTCTACAAAAAAACTAAAAACAAATATTTCATTATTTATTTTTACTCTATTCTTAAACACAAAACAAATCATACTACATAGTATATTATATCTAGTAAAACTAGAACTATCACTAAATGTGATTAATACCCCCACAAGTCTGCTTCGGAAATGAGGATGTTACTAGTAACAGAATACCTTGTAATAGAATTGAAACATAGAGTTATGGTTGTGGGCAATTAAAGATAATTGTGGTTCATGTATGTTGCATTTCCTTTCAATGTGGTTGGCCATTGATGAAGTTTAATTGAATTACTCTGTAATAAGTCCAGAAAGACAAAGAAAAAGAACAAAGGGCAATAACTCTATAAATACTTAAGATAGAGTCATAGTTCTTGTGCACTGCACTTCCTCTTATTGTGCTTGACCATTGTATGAAGTTGTTTTGAATTCCAACCTGTACGTTTTAAGTTATGCTCCGGACAAGGAAAAGTATCAAAGGGCAGTAACTCTGTATTTTGTCAAAATGGATTTATGGCTCTTGTGCACTGCACTTCCTTTGAATGTCCTTGACAACTGTATGAAGTTGTACTGAATTCCAAACAGTAGTTTTCAAATTATGCTCTGGACAAGGAAAAGTAACAAAGGGCAATAACTCTATAACTAGTCAAGATGGAGTTATGGTTCTTGTGCACTGCACTTCCCCTTATTGTGCTTGACCATTGTATGAAGTTGTTTTGAATTCCAACCAGTAGTTTTCAAGTCATGCTCTGGACAAGGAAAAGTAACAAAGGGCAGTAACTCTGTAATTAGTCAAGATGGAGTTATGGTTCTTATGCACTGCACTTCCTCTCAATGTGCTTGACCATTGTATGAAGTTATAATGAATTCCAACAATAAGTCTTCAAGTTATGGTCCAGACAAAAGAAAGCAAAGGAAAAGTAACAAAGGGCAATAACTCTGTACTTAGTCAAGATGGAGTTATGGTTCTTGTGCACTGCACTTCCCCTTATTGTGCTTGACCATTGTATGAAGTTGTTTTGAATTCCAACCAGTAGTTTTAAAGTCATGCTCTGGACAAGGAAAAGAAACAAAGGGCAGTAACTCTGTAATAAGTCAAAATGGAGTTATGGTTCTTGTGCACTGCACTTCCTCTCAATATGCTGGACCATTGTATGAAGTTATAATGAATTCCAACAATTTGTCTTCAAGTTATGGTCCGGACAAAAGAAAGCAATGGAAAAGTAATAAAGGGCAATAACTCTGTAATTACTTTAGATAGAGTTATGGTTCTTATGCACTGCACTTCCTCTCAATGTGCTTAACCATTGTATGTAGTTATATTGAATTCCAACCATTAGTCTTCAAGTTATGCTTCGGACAAAAACAAGAGCGATCAGTAATCACATGTGTCGCCTCATGATGGCCAATTTCATGTTGGGACAAATTTTGTGACAGACGGACAGACAGACGGACAGTGCACAACTAGACTAACCACTTTGTACTGATCATTTCTGTAAAATTTGGATGAAATTGCACCAGTAGTTTATGAGGAGTAGTCCGGACAAGCTTTTGCGTATCTGGCAACACACAGAAAAAAACACCTTTTTATCAAAGGGCCATAACTCACCCAAAAATCATTCAACCAGAAAACCCGTGCAATATGCGCAAGGACTTGAGCTACAGATCAATCCTGTAAAGTTTCATTGAAATTGCATAAGTGGTATAAGAGAAGTAGTCTGGACAAACTTTAAAAATAAAAATTATTAAAGGGCCATAACTCAAACAAAAATCATTGAACCGGAAAATCCTGACAATATGCACAACTACACTTGGTACTGATCATTCCTGTAAAGTTTGGATGAAATTGCACCAGTAGTTTATGAGGAGTAGTCCGGACAAGTTTTGTGACGGACGGACGGACAGACGGACAGACAGACAGACAGACAGACAGACGGACAGACGGACGGACAGACGGACAGACAGACGACGGAGAAGTGATCCCTATATGTCGCCACTACTCCGTAGAGGCGACACAAAAAGAAGGCATTTGAAAAGCAACAAAGGGCAATAACTCTGTAATTACTTTAGATAGAGTTATGGTTCTTGTGCCCTGCACTTTCCCTTATTGTGTTTGACAATTGTATGAAGTTGTTTTGAATTCCAACCAGTAGTTTTCAAGTTATGCCACGGACAAGGAAAAGTAACAAAGGGCAATAACTCTGTAATTAGTCAAGATAGAGTTATGTTTCTTACGCACTGCACTTCCTCTCAATGTGCTTGACCATTGTATGTAGTTATATTGAATTCCAACCATTAGTTTTCAAGTTATGCTCCGGACAAGGAAAATGCAACAGTAAAAAAAAAAAGCAATGGAAAAGCAACAAAGGGCAATAACTCTGTAATTACTTTAGATAGAGTTATGGTTCTTGTGCACTGCACTTCCCCTTATTGTGTTTGACAATTGTATGAAGTTGTTTTGAATTCCAACCAGTAGTTTTCAAGTTATGCCACGGACAAGGAAAAGTAACAAAGGGCAATAACTCTGTAATTAGTCAAGATAGAGTTATGATTCTTGTGCACTGCACTTCCTCTCAATGTGCTTGACCATTGTATGTAGTTATATTGAATTCCAACCATTAGTTTTCAAGTTATGCTCCGGACAAGGAAAATGCAACGGACGTCTGGACCGACCGACCGACAGACCAACCGACCGACCGACCACAGGGTGACTCCTATATACCCCCCCAAACTTCGTTTTTGGGGGTATAATTATGCTGCAATTTTCATTTGCATGCATAAATATGAAGGTATCTATATAACATATGTATCTCAATTATGAACACACTTGTGGTAGTACAATATCTAAACATACAAACAAAATGTCATGTGAACACAAAATGCTCGATGAATGCAAATAATTGTCTCTTTTATTTGTGGCTGACAAGCACTCTAAACTAAACAAGAGGGACATGATGGCCTTCATTGCTCACCCGAGATTTATTGCCAGAGGTGACTGAAGGACGTAAAGACAAGGTTTCCATTCCCACAGAAAATAAATCTTTACACAATTTGAAATAACTTTGTAAACAATACAATCTTATGAGGAACTCTTAAAGAAATCAAATGTTAATGTATACTTATTTATTTTATTTATCTTTTCTTAAAAAGTTACTGTTTGAGGAACAATTTGTGTGAAGGATCACTGCAGTGTATCTTTGTAGTTACAGACGCAGTCAGAATAATGTATGTCAATGTTTGTATCACTTGTTAACCAGTACTGGGTGGGGTAGGTATCGGTTAGAGGCTATGTGTTCCTTTAGATAATCTCCACCTTTCTCCTGGTACTCTGCTCGGGTAATCCAAACATTACCAATACCTGATGATGTGATCCACTGCCGGGCACCAAGCCATGCATCCAAACTTGGATCATCTGTAAAATGTCAATATAACAATCTTATTTCTGCAAGCTTTTCCTTTTGATGTGAAAAATTAACCACTTAAAACTTCAAATCGGTGTTAAATAGCCGATAAACACCGCTCAGACCGATATTATTTCTTAAACAAACTGCATTGAAGAACAAGAACCTGTGTTTGGTAAACACACATGTCCCTGGCCCAATATCCAACTTGTCAAAAAGATTTTATCTATTTTCTACTAAATGTGAGACTGTCCAAGAAAACACTTGTTTACACAGTTATATCATAAAAACTTGACAGTTCTTAAAAAAATGCAAATTGGCATGTCATTGCTATTGTATGAAGTTGAAAAATGTAGTAAGGTTTATAAAATTTTCATAAACTCAATACCTTGTCCTTGACCCTAAACTCTAAGCCACCCAAATATGGTGGACATGAATTACTAAATAAAGGTTGTATGCATGTTTACATGATAAACACTGCTGCATGAGTTAGTAGGAAAGTCCCACAAGTATTTCAATAGTCCAGCTAAAAGGACCAGGATGGGACAGCACAAAATGATTACTATATAACCCCCTCTAAACTTGTATTGGTGGGAAAATAATGAACAAATAATTAACCTGCTGTGAACACATTAAATGTTGATTTGAAGGGTCGCATTTGTAACATCTCCCGATCCATTCTCTGTTTGAACTGACCAAAATTAGCACAGCCTCCAGTCAAAAATACATACTGCAAAAAAAATCACACAAAAATACAATATACAATGTATTTAACAACTTACAATTAATGAAAATAAACACAATTCTTTTATATAATAATAGTCAGGGACACTGAAATTACAAATCTCTTGAGTCTAATCTCTCCTGTAATGCAACTAAAATATTTTGTGTGAAAAAACAGTGGTTATCACCGATCTCACTTTTGAGTTATCTGCCATTAAATCATAATTATTTACTCATTTCAGGTCATTTCAAGGGAAGATAACATATACATGTACAGCTGAACATATGTCTATAAAATCTTCTTTCAATTCTGAATTATGTTTTTCTTTTTATTGTTGATCACAATACATAAGAACACCAATTCCATATATTATTTCTGTTACAATTTTTCAATTTGAAAAAAGGGACTTAAAATTCTTTAAAAAAAAATTGTTTAAGGAAAAAACTGTGCACCAACACAATTTAGGTCATATGGCGCAAAAACTGGAAAGTTAATTTTCACTAACCTCGGGTGTTACAGACAAGCAATAAGAGAGGTCAAATTCACCACACCTGCTGGAGCTAAGAGATACATAGAATCCAGTAATTTCAACCCATTTAGCTACCTCTTACCATCACACAGAGATAAATAGTGGCATAGGAAGTCAATGATAGCTATTGAAAGTCAATAGTAGCTATTGAAAATTACTAGCTGTAATGGACGTCAATTGTTGCTAAGAAAATTAAATGGTTGGTGGTTGCTATGGAAGTCACTGGGTGCTGAAGAAAGTCAATGGTTGCTATGGACCCCAAGATTATGATTTTAACAAAAATAGTAGAGGTTCATCAGACAATCTTTTGTGCTCTTGCCTTGTCTATTGAAGAGATGTTTATTTTTTAGGTTTTTTACTAAATAAATATAAGGAATTTGACACAAGGGCCATGACTTGCACAACCTTGGAAAATGTTTCATACCAAATATTTATGCTCTAGTCTTTGTGATTCAAGGGAAGAAAGATTAAGTTTTTACTCTATAACAAAAACTTATTAATCCCCAAGGCGTGTACATAAGCTCTAGTGTCCACCTTGAAAGCTGTAAGGGGTTCTGTGGAGAGGATCTTTCAAGTTTTAACTATAGTTACACAAATGGAAAACTCAGGTTTATGAGAAGAATATTTAAAGATCTCCTTATATGACTCTATGTATAATCAAATGACCCTGAGACAGACAAATTTTGACCCCAGGGCTATAATTTTAACAAAACTGGTAGAGAACCAATGTTTCAATGTCCTTATGGAGAAGTTTTTTTTAAAGATTGCACTTTTCAATTCTATTTTTAGCTTCTGTGATTCAGATATGCAACAGACTGGAACCATTTGAACAATCTTGGTTAAGCTTCATGCAAGGAATATTTCTGCCAGGTTTCATCCCATTTGGCAATGTGGTTTACAAGGTGCTGTCATTTGAATGAATTACAGCGAATGATGGCAGACATCAAACTATCCTAGAAGCTCACACTATCCATGTGTGACGGGTGAGCTAGAAATTATCATCAGTTTTTCCGCTGTCAACAGCAATAGCTCGATACTTTCTTTGGAAAAGTCGAGCCAAAATGATCATTATCATGTTCTAAAATCATGCAAAACTTAATTGCATCCTATGGAACATGTATAATGCCTATATGAAAACTGTTGTGAACAAAGTTAAATACCTGTGCTAAGGTCTGTTGTACATCTTGTGTATATTTTTTGAACATGTAGTCTAGAGTTTCAACAATTCCTGCTTGCTCAGCACCAATCATAGATGGCTGGAACAATAACTCTGGTACCCTGAACAAATATACATCATTGTACAATTACACAATTTATCATAAAACAAATTATAACTGTAATTATCTTGATTAGAAAACTATAAAACACCTTTCCTGCAATTCCAACATTAAGTGAAATGTTTTATAAAATTAACGAATGATTTTAACAGATGTGTAAGACAATGATACATGTTTGTATTTATGATGATTTTGAGTTATTATTAAGCAAGTAAGCCAGTATTAACCAAATGTATTTTACAACAAATACATGTAAGACTAACCATCATAAATGATGTAACTTTATACACACATTTATAACAATGGATTTAACACTTAATCTGCTTGAACTGACTGATAACCCTTTGCCAGTATAGAGTCAAAGCAGCCTGTTGATAGTTCTTGTTGTTTTTAAATTATTTTGATACTAAACTCCCTAAAACTTTGAACAGACTGTTCCAAATTAAAAGCTGGGCAAATCTATTACATAATTGCATTGTATTTTTTGTTTCTCTTTCAACAACTAATTTGTCAGTGTAATGTGTTGCCTATCTTGAAGGAACTGATTTAAAATATCAATAATTTAATTCATAACCATCCTAGTCACATTTGACTGACAATTATCTTAACAGTGCAAAAACTATCCTTGCAATGTTGTGTATTTACCCAGGAGGTAATACATACCATTTTCATTTATAACAGAAACAAGAGGGCCATGATGGCCCTTATATCCCTCACCGGAATATAAAAACTCTCCATGACAAGGAACAAGTAGTATTGTAAACTATAAACAAAAGCAGTTATAAAATCTAAATCTTAAAATTGATATCACAAAGTTCATATTTGTATCTGAAATAGGGCATGTGTAAAAACATTACTGGTTACTATTGCTAAGGGAAAACAACAGTTCTATAAAATGTCACTGGCTGCCATACAAAATAAATGGTTTCCTAAAACTTTCCTTGGAAGTCGATGTCTGCTATGAAATTTAATGGTAGAATCACTTGTTGCTATGGAAAGTTAATGTTTGCTATTGAAGTCACTGTCTGCTATGAAAATTAACAGTTTGCTATGAAAAGTCAATGACTGCTATGAAACTAAGCTTAAGCTCTAGTAAATTTAGAGATTTTTTAACTATGTACATATAAGGAAAATCTATGCTCCCCCTGACCCAAGGGCTATAACTTGAACAATTTTTGTAGAGGTCCCCCAGACAATGTTTCATACTAAATAACTAAATTAAAGCCTATTTAGTGTAACAGAAAAAGATTTTTGTTTTGTTTTCATTATACACATATAAGTAATATATATACATATCTAAGCTCTAGCTCTTTGGTGTTTTTAAAAGGGTTTTTATGTGTTTACTATATACATATAAGGAAAATCAATAGGTGGGGCCCATTTTGACCCACTAGAAGATGTTTCATGCTTAATATCTAAGCTCTAGCTTAGGGTTTTCTCTTTGAATTTTTTAAAAGAAGGTTATATTAAGTACTATATACATAAAAGAAATATCAATGACCCCCCTTGGGCAGGGCCAATTTTGACCCTAGGGCTTTTATTTGCACAGCTTGGTACACACTCTCTTAGAAGATGTTTCACGCTGAATATCTAAGCTCTAGCTCTTTAGGTTTTTAAAAGAAGATTTGCAAGTTTTTACTAAATACATATAAGGAAAATTAATGACCCCCTGGGGTGGGGCCAAATTTGATCCCAGGGATTTTATTTGAACAAACTTGGCTGCACCCATTAGAAGATGTTTCCTGCTAAATATCTAAGCTCTAGCTCTTCGGGTTTTTTTTTAAAGATTTTTTAATTATTTTTTTTCTTTCGGTTGCCAAGGCAACCAGTGTTCTGCATAGAATTCAATTCTTTGAAAAAATTTCAAAGGTTTCCACCCAAGGAACATTCCTGAAGTTTGGATGAAATTGGTTTTTGCGGTTTATGAGGAGATGTCATTTAAAGTAAAAGATTATGGACAGATGGATGGACGACGGACATATTACGATCACAAAAGCTAACCTTATCACTCTGTGACAGGTGAGCTAAAAACAGTAAGTAAGTCACAATATGTCAAATGAAATGTTCTCACCTGATACGTTCTACACCAATATGTAACCTGTAGTATTCAGCTATATCAAACTCCCCAGCTTCCTTGTCCATCTCTCTGTTATATATACAAACAACAACTCTCTGTTACATATACAAACAACAACTCTCTGTTATATATACAAACAACAGCTCTCTGTTACATATACAAACAACAACTCTCTGTTACACATACAAACAACAACTCTCTGTTACATATACAAACAACAACTCTCTGTAATATATACAAACAACAACTCTCTGTTACATATACAAACAACAACTCTCTGTTACACATACAAACAACAACTCTCTGTTACGCATACAAACAACAACTCTCTGTTACACATACAAACAACAACTTTCTGTTACATACACAAACAACAACTCTCTGTTACACATACAAACAACAACTCTCTGTTACACATACAAACAACAACTCTCTGTTACACATACAAACAACAACTCTCTGTTACACATACAAACAACAACTCTCTGTTACACATACAAACAACAACTCTCTGTTACACATACAAACAACAACTCTCTGTTACACATACAAACAACAACTCTCTGTTACACATACAAACAACAACTCTCTGTTACACATACAAACAACAACTCTCTGTTACATATACAAACAACAACTCTCTGTTACATACACAAACAACAACTCTCTGTTAAAACAACAACTCTCTGTTACATATACAAACAACTCTCTGTTACATATACAAACAACAACTCTCTGTTACACATACAAACAACAACTCTCTGTTACACATACAAACAACAACTCTCTGTTACACATACAAACAGCAACTCTCTGTTACACATACAAACAACAACTCTCTGTTACACATACAAACAACAACTCTCTGTTACACATACAAACAGCAAGTCTCTATTACATATACAAACAACAACTCTCTGTTACAGATACAAACAACAACTCTCTATTACACATACAAACAGTAACTCTCTGTAACATATACAAACAACAGCTCTCTGTTACATATACAAAGAGAAACTCTCTGTTACACATACAAACAACAGCTCTCTGTTACACATACAAACAACAGCTCTCTGTTACATATACAAACAACAACACTCTGTTACATATATAAACAACAGCTCTCTGTTACATATACAAACAACAACACTCTGTTACATATATAAACAACAGCTCTCTGTTACATATACAAACAACAACTCTCTGTTACACATACAAACAACAGCTCTCTGTTACATATACAAACAACAACTCTCTGTTACACATACAAACAACAACTCTCTGTTACACACACAAACAACAACTCTCTGTTACACATACAAACAACAACTCTCTGTTACACATACAAACAACAACTCTCTGTTACATATACAAACAACAAATTCTCTGTTACACATACAAACAACAACTCTCTGTTACATATACAAACAACAACTCTCTGTTACATACACAAACAACAACTCTCTGTTACACATACAAACAACATCTCTCTGTTACATACACAAACAACAACTCTCTGTTACATATACAAACAACAACTCTCTGTTACATACACAAACAACAACTCTCTGTTACATACACAAACAACAACTCTCTGTTACACATACAAACAACAACTCTCTGTTACATATACAAACAACAACTCTCTGTTACACATACAAACAACAACTCTCTGTTACATATACAAACAACAACTCTCTGTTACACATACAAACAACAACTCTCTGTTACATATACAAACAACAACTCTCTGTTACATATACAAACAACAACTCTCTGTTACATATACAAACAACAACTCTCTGTTACACATACAAACAACAACCATTACAACAACCTAACCCTTAACCTTCTCAATTATTTAATTACACTTCCATTTGTGAAATTGTTAATTATCAATTTTTGGGAAATTAAGATGAAAACTTGAAGTTGGTAGAGCCTGGTCAAACTGCACAGTTATGCTGGCCTGGCTCTACACTGGATAAAAACTCATCACTTTCTGTTTCAGCAGGTAAAGGGTTAAAAATAGAAACTAAACACACATGATCAATAATCACATGCATGTCGGTATATTATTGAATTATAACTGTGAAATACATATGACAAATTTAAAGCAGAATTTATTAATTTTAAAATATTATTTCACCTTAGAAAAAAACAACAATAAATGAACAAAATTTTCAACTATAAAAAAATCTAAATATGGCAGGTATATTTTTCTATGTGAACATAATGATTTGATGTTGTGAAATATATTTCATTTTTACTTTGAAACAAACAAGCAAATTATCTCAATATCTTGAATTTTAATGTTTTATTTTGGTGTAAATATTTAAAAATAAAATTTTATGTTGTGTTAATTGATATTACTTCAGGAATTCTGGATCATGTTCCTTGAGCATAGTTTCTAGTTCCTCTAGCTGTAGCTCCTCGGCCTCTGAATCACTGTCACTCATGTTGGGGTTCTATCATAAAACAACCATCATCATTTCATTTATAATAGGGGTTTGTTAAGTTTAAATGAGGTACATGTATAACATATGAAGTCCAGACAAACTTTCAAAACAAGAATCATTAAAGGGCCATAACTTTGACAAAAATCAATGAATCAGAAATTGTTGATGACATGCACAACCAGATTTGATATTGATAATTCTTGTAAAGTTTGTGTGAAATTGCCCCAGTAATTTTTGAGGAGTAAAAGGTTAACCAATGCCAACACTGAAGAGTGGTTCATGACATGATACTCCACTTATTATTCTTCAAAAACAGTAGCTTATAAAAATGGGTCAAAGACAGAAAAGGCCGGGCTGCATTTGTACACCAAATATCACGAGGCTGTGATGTTACGAAAAAATTTACCATTGACCCATTAATGTCGAAAATTTAATTAAGTGGGTAAAGAGAAAGTGGATAAGCTACACACCTAAAATCGAATCCCACGGTATAGTACCAGACCATGTGTCAATGCTGTATGCCAAAAATAAAGACGCTGTGATTAGTAGTTTCTGAGAAAACTGTTACGAAAATTTCCTACCATTGACCCATTAATGTCGAAAAATTTAACTAAGTCAGTGAACAGGAAGTGGATGAGCTGCAGACTTGAAATCGAATCCCACAGTATGGGACCATGTGTCAATGCTGCATGCCAAATATCAAGAGGCTGTGATAAGTAGTTGCTGAGAAAACTGTACGAAAATTTCCTACCATTGACCATTAATGTCGAAAAATTTAACTAATTTAACTAAGTGGATAAACAGGAAGTGGATGAGCGACGGACCTGAAATCAAATCCCACGGTATGAGACCATGTGTCAATGCTGTATGCCAAATATCAAGAGGCTGTGATAAGTAGTTGCTTAGAAAACTGTTACGAAAATATTTCCCCGCCCGCCCGCCGCCCGACATTCACCATCCTATAACCCAGATTTGCACTAGTGCAACCCGGCCAAAAATGGTTACAAACTCAACATTTGATGTTATAATTGAAAATACATTATAATTTATGCAAAATTTATAGTATGAATAAGATGTGTTACGAGAATAAGATAAAGTAAAATAAAAGCTTACAATTTCCTTATAAACATCCCAGTCTCTGTCATCTTGTCCAAAGGTATCTTCTTTCTTTGTATCTGAAAATATTGAATATAACACCAGTGTTACTATATCATCAATTAAACTGTGATCATGTCCTGTACAACAGATGTTCTGGCTTCAGCCAGGGATATTGTACTCCTTCTATATAAGGTACATATGTAGATATCATACAACACATTGGTTAAACAGGAACTGCCACTATCCTGTCCAATAATATATCCCTATCATACCTCGAGTTAATAGGATATTATGAAGTTTCATATTAGTATTGTGTATTGACTTAATTTTAATGAAAAATCTTGAGAAATCACCATAAAATGTTATAGATGTTACAGTCATACAACTTCATACAAGACTGTAATTACTAAAACACTGTCATTTCATATTCAATTGTTAGCTGAGTTAGATAGACAGGGGCAAATAACTAAATAAAGTAGGACAGTGACCCTGAATTTTTTCCATCAATTTGTTTCAATCATTTTGTTTAAACTTTGCTTTATAAAAAAGAGTTCTAAAATTTCCAATTAATGGCCTAAATACTGAAACAAAAGTTACTTTTAGCAAGCTGTGATATAATTCTCATCCTCTGCTGGGCAGCATATGTTTTTCTTTTTGCCATATCTTGCTTCTTCTGCTTGCGATTGTTACGAGTTTCCAACAGTTTCTACAAAAACAATATATAGCAAAATTTAAGGACTATCTTAATCAAAATTCATCAAGTGGTTGATGAGATTTCATTAAAAGGTATTTAAAATTTTAGATCTGGTGGTATCTTGTAAAACAAACCTAAAAATTTCTAGCAATTTTAGAAAGAACCACTTAAAGATCATTTCTGTAGTATTTCATCAAAATCTATTTAAGGGACTGGGGAGAAGGTGTCATTAAAGCTTATTTACATTTTTTAACTCTGGTGGCCATCTTGTTGCAAAAGACATGAACCATTTGAGCAAATTTTTATCAATTTTAGTAAAGGACCATGTAAGGATCATCAATGTACAGTTTCATCAAAATCTACTAAGGAGCAGTTGTTGATTAAAGATTTGTCTATTTTTAGCTGTAGCAGCCATCTTGTTCAGCAAAGCAGAACTATTTGAACAATTTGGTAATGATCAGTCTTGCAAAGTTTCATTGAAATCCCACAAGCAGTTTGACCTATGAAAGCCAGACAAGATTTTTCTATTTATATCTCTGGCAGACATTTTTTGCAGGGAAGTTATGCATGCAAACAAAGCTGTTTTGCATGTAGATTCATGATAATCTCGGTAGAATTAAAACTTTCACAACGTCCTAGACATTTAAAATTCATGGCCATTTTACATGTTAAATACCTAGCATTGTATGAATGCAAAATCCAGTATGTTGATTAAAATGGCAGCACAATTAGAGAGAGACTTTAGTGTCATATGGCAGATATTCTCGTGAAAAACACATTCAAGCCAACTGTGTGCCATTTCAGTAACCTTTTTGAAACTAGAGCAGGACATCAAAAATAAAAAGCTTTTGAAAAATAAAAAATGAATGCATTCCTGGGGCATAATGGGCCTTAAAATCTACATTTAGAAACTTATACCATTTTTGTTACTAATTTTAATATATCATATGACTAACCATCTAACACTAGTATTGTTTAACTTCAGGCAGATTTATTTGTACAAATTATACTGATGAAGAACCAGATATGTTAGAAACTGATAGATCTTAATTAAATCAGTGTCCATTTTAATCTGGCGTTATGTGTGGTTTCTTGTGTATTGTTCCTTTTCAACCAGTAAGTTTGATAAAAATTAAATCAAAATTGTGACCAAGTTCATGAACCAAGATGACCACTATTCCAATTCAACATTGAGATAATCACTTTCACTATACATAATTTTTATTTGCAAACTTGATTTCAAATCTTAATTTTTGCTGAAAACAACACATACATGTATTTTGGGCATATATGATATAATATGATTTGAAGATACATTATTTCATACTAGAAGAGGAAAAGCTACCAATAAGATCCCTCTTTGAATTTCATCAAAACATAATAAGAAAACAGTCCATCTTTAAGTCTGCTTCTTCAAATTATCTGAGTATAACTCACTTGTCTTTTTTGTCTCACTTCAGACAACCAACTCTGAAAATCAGTCAGTCTTTTCTTTTCAAGTTCTTTTTCTGCAATGAGTTCCTGAATAAAAAAGATTCAATATCAACAATACAAATGGAATCAAATATATTACAAAAAAAACATTAAAAGACAGTGGTAAGGGTATACTTTGAATAAATGAGACATCCCTCTACATCCCTTCTGGGGGGATTGTTGGGGGGGGGAAATGTTGGGTTTTATGTAACACATCAACCAGCTTTACAGGTGAAAGAAGACCTCAGAAAATCCACTAATGTTTGATAGCTTTCTCACATTAAACAATTTAAATATCCTGTCAGATTTCATACCCACAGCTGTAAGAGGCAAATGTTTCTAATTCAACATTAACCACTTAGCCATCTTAGTTCAAAACTTGTAAAGGACTTCTTGTCTATTATCTATACTGACTCAAACATTTCTACAGATGTTCAATAAGTTTATGAAAGCTTGTTTATGGAAGTCTGATGACTCTAAAGTCAAGACAAAATTATTGCTTGAAGATACATCAGAAAACCTGCATATGTTATACAAACATACAAACCTTTTGTCTTTTTTCCCTTTGTTGAGCCTGGGCTTTAGCACGACCTTCCTTAGCTTTCTGTAGTATATATTGACGTTTCTTCTTCACTAGTTGATCTGGTGATAATTGATCATCTGGTATATCTAGTAGGTCAAACACTGCTTGCTTCCGAGGCTGAAATTTTCATCATATATCTAAATTACTCTACCTATGTACATTTACTTATGTTATTCCATTATAAATTCTATTTCACACCTACTTCTACCAATGAGAAGGGCTATCCTAGTTTGTCACGATCACAAGGTGTTAAAAACGAGTCGCAGACTGTCAATTATTTAGAGCATGGTGACCCCCAACTTTTGTTGTCTGTTTGTGTTCGACCGAAAAGGTGTGATTTACACTATATTTCTGATGAAGGGACCAGAGATCAGGTTCGAGAGTTCGAGCGATGGGTGTTCGAGCAATCCGAGGTAGAACAATATATATTATATAGGAATTTTGCCGGGACTGGGCGATGAGTTCGAGCGAAGGGAGGTATTCGAGCGCCGGGACTGGGCGATGAGTTCAAGCGAAGGGAGGTATTCGAGCGATCTGAGTTTGAGCGAACGAAGTTTAACTGAATTAAATTCTGTCTTACTCTTTAAATCACCATATAAAAATGACCATGTGGGATGGTTAAAACATCAAGTCTACAAATATTTTAATTATTCTCACCTCAGGTTCCTCGGGTGGCGGTTCTTTACCATCTATAACAGCCTTCAATCTTTGTATACTCACTGACAACTTGTTTATCAGTACCTGCAGCTCCTCTTCACTCTCTATATTGTTCTCACTTAATGCATTCTGAAATATAAGTTGACCTTATAGTGATAGAATTCTAATTTCTTTAATCACAATTTTTTACTTTGTTAAATTCGCATGAATGGGCACCTGAGTAGAACCACTAATGTTTCATAAGCTAGCTGGATAGCTTCTTCACATGACAGAATAAATGTTAATAAATATGTTTGTATAATAAAATATTGGTTTAAAGTGCTAAATTTAAATATTATTGTGAAATGTGTGTATATAAATACTGTAAATCAGTGTCAAAAAGTTATAACAAGAGCGATCAGTAATCACATGTGTCGCCTCATGATGGCCAATTTCATGTTGGGACAAATTTTGTGACAGACGGACAGTGCACAACTAGACTTGGAACTGATCATTCCTGTAAAGTTTGGATAAAATTGCACCAGTAGTTTATGAGGAGTAGTCCGGACAAGCTTTTGCGTATCTGGCAACACACAGAAAAAAACACCTTTTTATCAAAGGCCCATAACTCTGCCAAAAATCATTCAACCAGAAAACCCCTGCAATATGCGCAAGGACTTGAGCTACAGATCAATCATGTAAAGTTTCATTGAAATTGCATTAGTGGTATAAGAGAAGTAGTCCGGACAAACTTTAAAAATAACAAGAGCTGTCGGTAGGACAGCAACGCTCGACTATTCTTAGTGCTTGACAGTAAAAAAAATGCTTGATACAGTTACCTCCTCCTGTTTACAGGTTGGGGTCATGATGGTGAACAAGTGTGCAAAGTTTCAAAGCCATATGTCAATAGACTTTGAAAATATTTGAACTATTACAAAAACTTTAACGTAAATTCTAAGTCGAAAAAGGGGCATAATTCTGTCAAAATGCTTGATAGAGTTACCTCCTCCTGTCTACAGGTTGGGGTCATGATGGTGAACAAGTGTGCAAAGTTTCAAAGCCATATATGTCTATGGACTTTGAAAATATTTGAACTATTACAAAAACTTTAACGTAAATTCTAAGTCGAAAAAGGGGCATAATTCTGTCAAAATGCTTGATAGAGTTACCTCCTCCTGTCTACAGGTTGGGTCATGATGGTGAACAAGTGTGCAAAGTTTCAAAGCCATATGTCAATGGACTTTGAAAATATTTGAACTATTACAAAAACTTTAACGTAAATTCTAAGTCGAAAAAGGGGCATAATTCTGTCAAAATGCTTGATAGAGTTACCTCCTCCTGTCTACAGGTTGGGGTCATGATGGTGAACAAGTGTGCAAAGTTTCAAAGCCATATGTCTATGGACTTTGAAAATATTTGAACTATTACAAAAACTTTAACATAAGTGGTTACGCCGACGCCGACGCTCGGGTGACTGCAATAGCTCTACTTATTCTTATCGAATAGTCGAGCTAAAAATTATTAAAGGGCCATAACTCTGACAAAAATCATTGAACCGGAAAATGCTGACAATATGCACAACTAGACTTGGTACTGATCATTCCTGTAAAGTTTGGATGAAATTGCACCAGTAGTTTATGAGGAGTAGTCCGGACAAGTTTTGTGACGGACGGACGGACAGACGGCCGGACAGACGACAAAGAAGTGATCCCTATATGTCGAAAAGGCGACACAAAAAATGGGTGTTTAAAGTACTGGAAATTTTAGATTACATATGTATTACATATGCATTAATCAGCATTCATTACTCAACATTACAAATGAAAAATTCCAAGACTACACTAAATTGAATCAATAGATATTGCTCTCTTGGGCTATTTAGACATTTGTTGATAAACAATTTATGTTTATATTTTGGCCAGGATTTGTATGTGACAAAATAAAATTTCTGTTATATTATAAGCTGAAAGCTTTTTGACAGTTGTATTAAAGAGACAGGTTATCTCTACTTTCTGATAATTGGTCAATTATTACATAATATCAATGGTCACTGATTTCAAATCCTGGTCAAAATAAAAACATAAATCGTAAGATATACCATATTCCAGGTAATATATGCTCATTTCAATAGTGATTTTAGAGATTATTTGCTTTGTCTGAACAATGGTATGTTAATTATTCAAATTTTAAATATGAAATTTAGCAAAAATATCATTAGCATTGACCCAATGTTACTATAAACAAATTTCACATGGTCAGTTTTTTAACCGCATGATAGCATTTTTAACCAAAGAATCACACTTAATATGGAATGAACCTCATTATGCAAAGTCGGACAGCAAACTGCCAAACACTGACCCCATTATGCAGTTCCCCTAACTGTGACTGACAGACCGACAGACTGACTGACAGTGAATGCCATTTTAATTTCCCCCAATTGATTTCATTGTTTGGGAATAATTAAACATACTGAAATATAGTTTTCATATGAATTTCATTAAACATTCTGATAAACAATTTTCACTTAACTCTATTTTTAATGTATTATTATTATTGATAAGTTTCAAAGTAGTTTAAATATATATAAATGATGTGGAACATACATTATATTCCTCATCATCATCATCATAATCTGCTATCAGCTCCTGTAACTGCATCAACCTCTTCATTTCCTGCTCTTCTTCTGCCAACTGAAAAAAAACCAACACAAAGCAACATGTTATTGTGACAACATGACAATACATTATTGTGGCAACATGACAATACATTATTGTGGCAACAAGACAATACATTATTGTGGCAACATGAGTGGCAACATGAGAATATGTTAATGCAGTGATATGATAATATGGCAACAATAGAATAATGTCAACATCATTAAAGGTCAGAGTGGTAAAACTATATAATTATTTGGCTATATGATTACATTAAAATATGATAAAATGGTTATGTGATACTATGGAAACAAGTGGAAGTGGCAACATGATCCGACAACATGGAAATTAAAAAAAATGAGAGATTGGAAACATTGAAAATATATAAATCATGAACTGTTGGCATTTATGCTGCAGGCACTTAAAAGCTAAAGCATATTGTGAATCCAGCTGACTCTAAAAGTGAATTTCTGTTGCCTAACAAACAACAGACTTACAACAGGGATTTGTTCATATAACAGCTAATAATCTTGAGAATTATAAATTACCCTTTCTTGTCTTTTCTTTACATTGAGTTCCTTTAATCGTCTTATTTGTTGTTGTCTACGTTCCTGTTGTTGCTGGGCTGATATCAAGTTACTTGTTGCCTGAAATTGTACATTAAATTCTTAGACTTTTAAACGTAATTGTTTAAGTCTCAAATTTATTCCCTCATTCCCAATTGACCGATAATATTCAGGCCCAAACTTAGTATCTTTATGTCCCAAACATTTACTTTTGAACAAGGGTTTGAAAAAAAAACAAAAACTTGTGTTGCTGTGTATCATACTGACACTTTAAATACAAGTTTAGACATTTATTTCAGCTGCCTTAGTGAAATATACAGCCAACAATTTTATCTCATGATAAGCATTATAGGGATTAGGTGATTTTTAAACACAATGTACTTGCCCCTGACTGCTTTTGGTTCCAATCCCCAATGGGGACTTTGGATTTTTTCATGTAAGGAAGCTATCCTGAGCTAGCTTACAAAATGTCTGTGATTCTACTTGTGCCTGAACTAATGTACAGAGGGGCATCCCAGGTCTTCCTCCACCAGTAAAGAAAGCCACCACATTACCTTTACTGAGTTGATGTGACTTAAAACCCAATCAAAAATAGATTTTCCCAGTATTTATGAGCAGCAGCTTTATTAACAGAATATCTTAGGTTCACATGACATTTTGCATAACTTGTCCATGACCTCATTTCTTCTCTTATATTTGTGACACACTTTTACAAAATCCCAGTTATTGTGGTTAGCAAGTGACTCTCTGGGCAGGGCTAATTTTGACCTTAGGGTAACTTTTGTAGAAATCTACAAATTGATGCTACATGCCAAATATCTAAGCTCTGGATTCTTATATAAGTCTATATAAATCAAGTGACCCTCAGGCAGATAAAAATTAACCCAAGGGGTATGATTAATATCAGCTTTTCAGAGGTCCACAAGATAATATATAAACAGCACATGGCTGTTGGGGTGATAGAGGATATTGTCAGCCCGAGAACTGGTATATTATCCCGAGCTGCAACCTTATTAGCATAAGGTATCTTTATTTAATGAACGTGTTACTTACATTAGCATACGGGTGCTGTATTTCATGTACGTGTTACTTACATTAGCATACAGGAGCTGTATTTCATGTACGTGTTACTTACATTAGCATACAGGAGCTGTATTTCATGTACACGTTACTTACATTAGCATATGGGAGCAGTATTTCATGTACGTGTTACTTACATTAGCATACAGGAGCTGTATTTCATGTACGTGTTACTTACATTAGCATACAGGAGCTGTATTTCATGTACGTGTTACTTACATTAGCATACAGGAGCTGTATTTCATGTACGTGTTACTTACATTAGCCATACAGGATCTGTATTTCATGTACACGTTACTTACATTAGCATACAGGAGCTGTATTTCATGTACACGTTACTTACAGTAGCATATGGGAGCAGTATTTCATGTACGTGTTACTTACATTAGCATACAGGATCTGTATTTCATGTACATGTTACTTACATTAGCATACAGGAGCTGTATTTCATGTACACGTTACTTACAGTAGCATATGGGAGCAGTATTTCATGTACGTGTTACTTACATTAGCATACAGGAGCTGTATTTCATGTACGTGTTACTTACATTAGCATACAGGAGCTGTATTTCATGTACACGTTACTTACATTAGCATACAGGAGCTGTATTTCATGTATGTGTTACTTACATTAGCATACAGGAGCTGTATTTCATGTACACGTTACTTACATTAGCATACAGGAGCTGTATTCATGTATGTGTTACTTACATTAGCATACAGGAGCTGTATTTCATGTACACGTTACTTTACATTAGCATACAGGAGCTGTATTTCATGTACACGTTACTTACATTAGCATACAGGCCAGCAGTATTTCATGTACGTGTTACTTACATTCAGCATACAGGAGCAGTATTTCATGTACGTGTTACTTACATTAGCATACAGGAGCTGTATTTCATGTACACGTTACTTACATTAGCATACAGGAGCAGTATTTCATGTACGTGTTACTTACATTAGCATACGGGAGCTGTATTTTATGTGCGTGTTACTTACATAACCATACTGGAGATGTATTTCATGTGAGTGTTACTAACATAAGCATACCGGAGCTGTATTTCATGTACATGTTACTTACATTAGCATATGGGCGATATATTTCATGTACATGTTACTTACATTAGCATACGGGAGATATATTTCATGTACGTGTTACTTACATTAGCATACAGGAGCTGTATTTCATGTACACCTTACTAACATTAGCATATGGGAGCTGTATTTCATGTACACGTTACTTACATTAGCATATGGGAGCTGTATTTCATGTACACGTTACTTACATTAGCATATGGGAGCTGTATTTCGTGTACACGTTACTTACATTAGCATATGGGAGCTGTATTTCGTGTAAACATTACTTACATTAGCATATGGGAGCTGTATTTCATGTACACGTTACTTACATTAGCATATGGGAGCTGTATTTCATGTACACGTTACTTACATTAGCATAAGGGAGCTGTATTTCATGTACACGTTACTTACATTAGCATATGGGAGCTGTATTTCATGTACACGTTACTTACATTAGCATATGGGAGCTGTATTTCATGTACACGTTACTTACATTAGCATATGGGAGCTGTATTTTATGTACATTCTCATCATAGTAATCATGTGATGCCCATTGTTCTAACTCAGGCAGGAAATCTACCGCCATGTATGTGTGATCACGTACTAGCTCCTTCAACAAAAAATACATGAAATTTTTATTTCTACAATACATATAAATAGTTAATTATTATAACAAATCTACGAAGTTGAGCTACTAAAACAAAGTATACGGCAACTTCCAGCTTTACTTTGATATCCCATCATGCATGAAGATAAATGGACCACACAAGAAGTATTTACTTCATTCAATACACACACTAACACACACACGGACATGAGTTATACTATACACAGCATGGTAGTTTAAGGTAACAATGTGCATTTGGAAACATCACATTATTCTCCTTTTATTATGCAAAATTTGTAATGTGCCCTCTTAATGATGAATTTATCAACCTATCAATTTTCTTTGAATCACATATTTTGGTATATCTTGTAATTTCATTTTTAAACCACTAGAATTGATTTAAATGTCTTTTAAAACAAGCACAGATAACATCTTTTATGATTATTTTTATCAATAAATAAAATATAAAAATTCCTTAATTGGGATTTTTAAAATAAAGGACCACTTCTGATTTTTACTGTAAGCAAGACTAGACTTATAAAGCAAGAACAAGCTATGACATTTTGTGTTGCAAACAATTGAACAGTAAGATAGCAAAATATATTTACTAGTTTAAATTTAAAGGTCAAAGAGGTTACCTTAAAGGAGGCTGTTAACATATACTAGCAGCAAATGTGATAATTACAGTTTTCAAGGAACCAATTGTTTATTACCTCAGAATTATTCAGACTTCATAAAACAGATGATTTAAGCACAGACATATTGTTATATTTGATATGTCTAGCAAACAAGACATACAAGGGTTGTAATATGGGAGAAGTCATTGTTAAAGGAATATGTAATAAGTCATGATAAATAATTTGTAATACTTTTAAATTTGGTGCTATGTTACAAATTAATAAAGAGCTATTTGGATTTGAATCAAACGATTTTTCTAAAGTTAAATGCATTCTGAACACATACAACCATCTTATATGAAGATATGATCTGATATGAAGAGGTGCACAACTGAAGAACATGTGTTCACCTGCAGCACCAGACAAATAGAATGGATATTTACTCTTTGACACTGATACTATACCCAAAGCCATTGGTAGTCATAACAATTCTAATTTTAACACCTGTTATAGGTAAAATGACTTTTGGCACATTTTTGTCACCTTTTACACTGTTTTCGGCCACATTAGTCAAAGAAATTTGAACCTTAATCTCTGAAAATACATTCTATAGAGCTGGAAAAAATAAATACACACTCTATAACAGTAGCCAGGTTAAACTAATGTTTTGGTTTTAAAAAATGATTAACAGAAATTTTAAAAATCAACATAAAACATCAAAATCATGCCTTGATTTCCCTTATTAACGTGTTCAAAGCACACACTTGATTTAAAGAGAAGTACCAATGTGCTAAAGGTGTGTGTTGAGAAGGCGTGAAAAATGGACAATGTTATAAACAAATGTTAACAAACCTCCGCCCTAGATAATGTGATAGAGTTCACATGGCCAGGATATTTGAGCTGTAGTAACCTTTGCATTAAACCATCAACATGAGCACCACCTATATTGATTCTCCTACAATGTTCTAGATCTAGTCTCCCATGTAGCACTGGTAATATGTGAGTTGTCTGGTATCCACAATCAATTACAACAGAATTTGCCTTACCTAAAAAAACAAATAAACTTTGATTCATGAACAAATCTCAAAACTAACATGTAAATTCTTCACAACTCACAAAGTGTACTCATACATATAGAATTCATTTACATAGGATACTCAAGGTGTTGTCTGCCATGAAAGATAGTATTCTTTCAAGTCATTTTTCAAGCACAATTAAATTTCCTGATTTGATGCCAGTATAATATTAACATGAAAATAAAGTTTAACATTCATTATAGTTTGCATGTGAAATTTCTACATATTAAAACTAAAATAAGTAATAACATTTCTTTTTGAACATATATATGAGAACATAATGTTTGTAAATTATAGAAAGAACTGTGAAATCTTGAACAATGTATAAACTATCATTAAACATTCATGGCTGTGGATGGTTTTTGAACAAACTGAACAATGTATAAACTATAATTACACATACCTGGCTGTGGATGGTTTTTGAACAAACTGAACAATGTATAAACTGTCATTAAACAATCCTGGCTGTGGATGGTTTTTGAACAAACTGAACAATGTATAAACTATCATTAAACATAACTGGCTGTGGATGGTTTTTGAACAAACTGAACAATGTATAAACTATTATTAAACATACCTTGCTGTGGATGGTTTTTGAACAAACTGAACAATGTATAAACTATCATTAAACATACCTGGCTGTGGATGGTTTTTGAACAAACTGAACAATGTATAAACTGTCATTAAACATACCTGGCTGTAGATGGTTTTTGAACAAACTGAACAATGTATAAACTGTCATTAAACATACCTGGCTGTGGATGGTTTTTGAACAAACTGAACAATGTATAAACTGTCATTAAACATACCTGGCTGTGGATGGTTTTTGAACAAACTGAACAATGTATAAACTGTCATTAAAACATACCTGGCTGTGGATGGTTTTTGAACAAACTGAACAATGTATAAACTGTCATTAAACATACCTGGCTGTGGATGGTTTTTGAACAAACTGAACAATGTATAAACTGTCATTAAACATACCTGGCTGTAGATGGTTTTTGAACAAACTGAACAATGTATAAACTGTCATTAAACATACCTGGCTGTGGATGGTTTTTGAACAAACTGAACAATGTATAAACTGTCATTAAACATACCTGGCTGTGGATGGTTTTTTGAACAAACTGAACAATGTATAAACTGTCATTAAACATACCTGGCTGTGGATGGTTTTTGAACAAACTGAACAATGTATAAACTGTCATTAAACATACCTGGCTGTGGATGGTTTTTGAACAAACTGAACAATGTATAAACTGTCATTAAACATACCTGGCTGTGGATGGTTTTTGAACAAACTGAACAATGTATAAACTGTCATTAAACATACCTGGCTGTGGATGGTTTTTGAACAAACTGAACAATGTATAAACTGTCATTAAACATACCTGGCTGTGGATGGTTTTTGAACAAACTGAACAATGTATAAACTGTTCATTAAACATACCTGGCTGTGGATGGTTTTTGAACAAACTGAACAATGTATAAACTGTCATTAAACATACCTGGCTGTGGATGGTTTTTGAACAAACTGAACAATGTATAAACTATCATTAAACATACCTGGCTGTGGATGGTTTTTGAACAAACTGAACAATGTATAAACTATCATTAAACATACCTGGCTGTGGATGGTTTTTGAACAAACTGAACAATGTATAAACTATCATTAAACATACCTGGCTGTGGATGGTTTTTGAACAAACTGAACAATGTATAAACTATCATTAAACATACCTGGCTGTGGATGGTTTTTGAACAAACTGAACAATGAATCAATACCATATGTCACCTTTGGAATCCCATAACATTCAAACAACAACTCTGACATCTCTAAAATAAACAATATCTCTGTATATGATATGGTTAAAAATATCCAAAATACAATGTACCAAGATTTAAGAGGATAGCTTTTTTATATTTTCTGTGAATATGGACCTTAATGAAAAGGTTAACCAAGCTGACACCAATGCTGATATCAACATCAAAGCCAAAAAGAGGGTCATGATGATAGCTCCTCTATTTTTCTCCAAAAATGATCTTCAAGTCTTGTTAGGCTGAATTTGTAAATATATTATTTCTAACCTCTTATTTCAAGAAAGAAAGTTTTCAAAATTATCAGAAAAATGTGTTTGTTTTTTTTCCTTTCATAATTTACTGCATTACTAACACAATATCCAATACAAGAGCATGCATGCAGTGTTAATACTTATCTGTAAAGGCATCCACATTCAATAAACAACCTTTATAAATATTATAATTTTAAAAGGGGCACGTTACTTCTAAAAGTCTTGATATCAGGATAATGTCCCTTGTTTTACAACTGTGCCTGTGTCATGATTATTAAGTATAACAAGTTTCACGTTGATATTCTTTGATTGTTTAAAAATTGTGCTAGAGGCTACTTATAACAATCTAAGCAAATTTAAACAATTTGACCTTGACTTCCAAGGTCAATTAAAAGTCAAAGTAATTATCAAAATTGCTCAAAATGTCTGTTTTATCATAAGGGTTCTTTTGTCTAAGTATAAATTCATTTAATCCATAAAAAATATTTAAAAAGAACTTATGATCAATTGTAATTTGTAACAAAGTTCACAAATTTGGACATTAAATGTCTAAGTCAATTCAAGGTCATGGTCAATTAAATCTTCTTTAATGACTTGTTCAAAAGATTGATTTCACAAGTATAAAGACAATAAATTCAAGCTATAGCCAATTAAAAAAAGGAAAACTATAAATTACAATAATTTGATTTTTAAGGTCAATGTTATAAAGGTCAAAGTCAAGTTGAGTTTTACAACATTTTACCGGTAACCATAGAAACAAGAGTTGTCACAGGACAACGAAGCGCAACTAATGAAATACTGGACACAGTAAGAAAGACAAACCTATGAAAGAAAAATCAATTATGTATAATAATGTATTAAGTTATAGTAAAATAATAACATCTGCTAACATAAATTTCAAGTTCAGAGGGGGAATAATTAATATAGTCACACTAGAGTTATAAACCTTGTCACACAACATGTGTGTAATGAAATATATATTTGCAGTTTGAAGTAGGTTATCTTAAATAGTAAAGAAGTTATAATATTTCTTAAAGAAAATCCTAAGTTCAAAGGGAGATAAATCTGAAAATATTGCTTCAAGAGTTATGAACCTTGTCACATAAGATGTAATTAATGATAAGGAATATCTATTTGAAGCTTATGGTAGATACCTTTAAAACTAAAAAAGTTACAGTAAAAAAAAAACATTTTTCAAGTAAAAAAATATATGTTCATGGCAGGATAAGTCTAAAAATATTGGTGCTAGAGTTTTGAACCTTATCACATAAGATGTGGTTGATGATAAGGAACATATATTTGAAATGTGATGTTGATCCCTTAAGAAATAAAGAAGTAACAGTAAAAAATAATATTTTTTAAGTAAAATTCTAAGTTCAAGGAGAGATAAATCTAAAAATATTAGTGCTAGAGATATGAACCTTGTCACATAAAATGCTGTTGATGATAAGGAACATATATTTGAAATGTGATGTTGATCCCTTAAGAAATAAAGAAGTAACAGTAAAAAATAATATTTTTTAAGTAAAATTCTAAGTTCAAGGAGAGATAAATCTAAAAATATTAGTGATAGAGATATGAACCTTGTCACATAAAATGCTGTTGATGATAAGGAACATATATTTGAAGTATGAAGTTGATCCCTTATGAAATAAAGAAAAAACAGTAAAAAAAAATGTTTTTTAAGGAAAATTCTAAGTTCAAGGAGAGGAAAATCTGTAAATATTGGTGCTAGAGTTATGAACCTTGTCACATAAGATGTGGTTGATGATAAGGAACATATATTTGAAGTATGATGTTGATCCTTTCAGAAATAAAGAAGTATCAGTAAAAAATAATATTTTTTAAGTAAAATTCAAAGTTCAAGGGGAGATAAATCTGGCAATATTGGTGCTAGAGTTATGAACCTTGTCACATGAGATATCGTCGATGAAAAGGAAGATATATTTGAAGTATGAAGTTGATCCTTTAAGAAATAAAGAAGAAACAGTAAAAAATAATATTTTTTAAGTAAAATTCAAGTTCAAGGGGAGATAAATCTAAAAATATTGGTGCTAGAGTTATGAACCTTGTCACAAAAGATTTGGTTGATGATAAGGAACATATATTTGAAGTTTAAAGTTGATATCTTAAGAAATGAAATAGTTCTAGTGAAAATATTTTACTGCACCAAAACTTTAATCTGAAATCTGGACACGGACGCTGACGCCGGGGCAAGTAGGACAGCTCTCCATATACTTTGTATAGTCGAGCTAAAAAACAGTGAAAATTCAATAATTACACTATCAAGGTCATAGTCATTTTTTCAGCCAAGTTCTCAAATCATTTGATCTCCATAAAGGTCTTGCCCTAAAGGATGTTGTGACTAAATATAAAGACAATTCATTCATAAATAACAAAATTCTGGCCAGTTACAGCAAATAATTAGCAATAATTTAACTTTGAAGGTCAAGGTTATTTATGACTCAAGGTCAAGGTCAGTTTGGTATACTTGAAGGAATATTCCAAATGATTGTTGTGTCCAAGTATGAAGACAATTCATTAATTAACAATTAAAAAATAAACACTTTGGTACATTTTGGGGAAAAAAGGGGCATAAATCTGTCAAATTAACTATCAAGTTATGAAACTTGACACAGATGCATTGTGATATTGCTTTGATGTGCCAAGTTTCAAGTCAATATCTCTTCCGGAGATGAGATAGGATGGTCCAAAGTGATTCATATATTGCCCATCCCACAAACTATGTTTGGTGGGGGTTTAAAAATACATGTGTATGCTTTCATTGAAAGCAGAAACTATGAAAACTAAATATATTGCAATCTTACGATAGACAAGAAAAAATATGTCTATAACATACGTTGTCTACAGTAGTTGGGGTTAGAAACCGTCTCTGTCATCACTACAGGATGATCAACCTTCCCATCTGTATTGATACCAAGGTTAGAAAACATGTAGTCAAATATCTGTTCCTGTAAAATATACCAATTTCACTCATAATGACAGTGTATAACATTGAATTATGAATTTTTCATTGTCATCAGGTATGTCTTCAAACAAATATTAAAGTTCTGTTAAATTTAGTTACAAATCAAATCTCTTCTCTTATGTACAATGTTGGGCACATTCATATCAACCTTAGCAGCCACTGTCCAGTATTCACTAAAATACCAAGTTTTTTCTTTACAAAGTCAAGAAATGGGTTCAAATGCAAGGACAAACATAACATAATGGTCTGGTTGCAAAAATGGCAAAAAAAAAGAGATTTTTTGAGAGAAAAGTTTTCTTAAATCCTGTAACATTGTTTGATATTTGGCCTTATTTCACGGCGTCTCAACGCCGTGATATTGTGATGGGTAGTTTTCGGTAGCATGGGCAAAAGTCACATGACAAAATGCCTTTCGATTTCTATAGCCGACATTTTATTGTTTTTAGATCTACGCAATCATTGTACAGCCCATTTCCGTGAAAAGTTACATAGAAACAGGTTTTTTTCAAAACCATATAGAATCTAAACAGTATTTTTATCAACACACAAAATATCAGCGTTTTATATTAACATATATCCGGACATCCTTTCGACATGCTTGAGAAATTCGCCTTGAATGGATTATATATGGTGGCTGATTTACGCCATCCGTATATTTTCGCGTCTTCGCCTCAAAATGCGAAAATGCGAAAACACGAAGGGACGACATATTTGAACTTATGTGTGTTCTCATGTCGGATCTATGTCTCTCTCGGAGTGAATCTTTTCACGTGTAAAATGTCTTTGAACATTACATTCCTAAGTTTCTATATCTGCAATTAAGAACTTAAATTGTCTTTTTTTGAATAATTTCATTTTTCTTGCGCAATTCTCTAAAATGAGATTTGTTTCTATATGCGTTTCACAATAAACATTCACCATACCAGGTTGTAAAATAACTTAATTTGGTCCTTAAATCAGTTTTTACCACAACATCAAACTTCATTCAGAATTCATGTCTCGTGATTGTGAGCAAAATTCTGAGTTTCCTTTAGATATGAGCAAGAAAATGTTTTATTAAACCCCCCGCCGAAAAGACGGTGGGGCATATAGAATTAGTCTCCATTAGTCTGTCCTTCCGTCTACATTTTTGTCCGGAGCATGTCTCAAAAAGTATCAATTTGAAACTTCATAGGTGGAGGTATCAACTTGAAACTTCATTGGTGGATAAATCATATTTAGGAAAAGTGCAGTGCACAAGAATGATAACTCTACCCTGCATATTTTTTCATTATTGCCCTTTGTTATTCTTCAAACTCTTTCAAATTTCTTCAAATTTTTTGTCCAGAGCATAACTCAAAAAGCCTTTGAGATATCAACATGAAACTTCATATCTGATAGATATCACTCAGGAGGTGTGCAATGCACAAGAGTGCACTCTACCATTCCTAAATTTTGAGTAACTGCCCTTTGTAATTTTGCATACTTAATTTTTCACCTGAGTGGAGCATAAATTAACTAAAAACAAGAGGGCCATGATGGCCCTGAAGTCGCTCACCTGTATATAGGCCCCCCGGAGCGCGGCCAGTTTAAACCCAAGGGCTTTTATTTGAACAAACTTGGTAGACACCAATTAGAAAATGTTTCATGCTAAACATCTAAGGTCTAGCTGGTCAAGTTTTTTCTTTACACATATAGTTAAAAACAATGACATACCTGGGGCAGGGCCAATTTTGACCCAAGGACTTTTATTTGAACAATCTTTGTAGACACTTATTAGAAAATGTTTCATGCTTAATATCTAAACTCTAGCTATTCAGTTTTTTTTCAAAGAAGATTTTTAAGTTTTTGCTATACACATATAAGGAAAATCAATGTCCCCCGGGGCGGGCCAATTTTGACCCCAGGGCTTTTATTTGAACAAACTTGGTAGACACTCACTAGAAGATGCTTCGTGCTTAATATCTAAACTCTTGCTATTTGAGTTTTTTTCAAAGAAGATTTTTTAAGTTTTTGTTATACACATATAAAGAAAATGAATAATCCCCGGGGCGGGTCCAATTTTGACCCCAGGGTTTTTATTTGAACAAACTTGGTAGACACTCACTAGAAGAGGCTTCATGCTTAGTATCTAAACTCTAGCTATTTGGTTTTTTTTCAAAGAAGATTTTTTAAGTTTTGCTATACACATATGAGGAAAATCAATGACCCCGGGGCGGGGCCAATTTTGACCCCAGGACTTTTATTTGAACAAACTTGGTAGACACCCATTAGAAGATGTTTCATGCTAAATATCTTAGCTTTAGCTCTTTGGGTTCTTTAAAAGAAGTTTTTTAAAGTTCTTACTAGATGCATATAGGGAATATCAATGATCCCCTTGGGCGGGGCCAATTTTGACCCCAGGGCTTTTATTTGATCAATCTTGGTAGACACTCACTAGATGATGTTTCATGCCAAATATCTAAGCTCTAGCTCTTTGGGTTTTTTTAGAAGAAGATATTTAAATTTTTTTCTTTTGGTTGCCATGGCAACCAGAGTTCTGCATGGAATTAAATTCTTTGAACAACTTTGTTAAGGCTTCACACAAGGAACATCCCTGTGAAGTTTCATTATGTTTCAGAGGAGATGTTTTAAAAGTGTAAACGGACAACGTACGACGGACGACGGGTAAGCCTAATAGCTCACCCTGAGCATATGCTCAGGTGAGCTAAAAAACAAACTTTGAGATGTCAATGTAATCTTCATAGGTAGATAGATCTTTTTGAGGATGAAAGAATGAATGATAACTCTTTCCTTTATAATTTTTGAGTAATTGTCATTTGTTATTTTCATACTTTTTGTCAGGAGAATATCTAAAAAAGTGTTAGAGGTAACAACTTGAAAATTCATAGGTGGATAGCTCTTTTTAATGAGAAGTGCAGCACACTAGAATGATAACCAACCGTGCATTATTTTTCAGTTATTGCCCTTTCTTATTTTTAATACTTAATTTTGTCCAGGGTATAACTAAAAAGCCTTTGAGATATCTACATGAACCTTCAAAGGTGGATAGATATCACTCAGGAGGTATGCAGTGCAAAAGAGTGATAACTCTACCCTTCATAATTTTTGAGTTATTGCCCTTTATTATTTTTCATACTAAATTTTTCACCTGAGTGGAGCATATCTCTGAAAAAGGTCTTTGAAATGTCAACATGAAACTTCATAGGTGGATAGATCTTTTTGAGGAGGAATGTTGTGCACAAGAATGATAACTCTATCCTTTATAATGTTTTGCCATTTGTAATTTTTCATATTTTTTGTCCGGTGCTTATCTCAAAAAGGTGTTAGAGGTATCAACTTGAAACTTCATAGATGGATAGATCTCATTGAAGAGGAGTGCAGCACATAAGACATTTAACCTACCGTGCATTATTTTTCAGTTATTGCCCTTTGTTATTTTTCATACTTAATTTTGTCCAGAGCATAACTACAAAAGCCTTTGAGATATCAACATAAACCTTCATAGGTGGATAAATCTCACTCAAGAGGTATGCAGTACAGAAGAATGATAATTATTCTGTTCTACTACATAAACACGGCTCTTGTAACAAGTAACATTATGATATGAACAAGTTAGCATGTCAATTAAACACAATGCTATTTGGAGATACCTTATCAATATATTAAACTGTTTTTTTGTTGTTGTTTTTTTGTGTTGGGGGTTGTTTTTTTTTGTTGTTTTTTTCGCCGTGACAATCATATTGCTGCATTTCCCAGCAATTTTTTACTTGTTTCAAATGTACTGAGTAACAAATATGGCAAAGTTTTGTCTTTGGACTCATTAACTTTTGTTTTCATGCAATTTTTTTTAAAGTCAGCTAATTGCCTACAAAAGTTAAACCTTGGCTTTACAGACTGGTGTCTTTTAAATTAAAAACATGATTTGCTTCTTTGTTTATATGTTTTTAGGATATTTCTAACACATTTTTGTTCATCCAACCTTTCCTGAATAACTTACAAGTAATTACCACTCTGCAAGTGGCAGACCACATAAAATCCCACATGATTTTGAGGCAAATGACAATCAAACTTGTAATTATAAAGAACTTACCCTGTTTTTGATTTAGAACAGTCTTCTCAACATTTAAGAGATTTCAATATAACAAGAGGGCTATGATGACCCTTAATACTTTCCTGATATCTATTGTTAGGGAAGTTCATAATTCTTCAATGCAGAGGTAATTCATTGAGTCACATTTGGGCCATGAATCAAATAACCAATAAATGATCTACTACACAATGTATAATGCCAAATATCTAAGCTCTCTGCCAAGAATGTTGCACAAGAAAATTTAAATGTGTGTTCCCCCAAAAAAATCTACTAAAAAAAAGAGACCCAAAAAAGAAACCAAATTTCCACAAAAAACTCTTTACCTTTTAAAAAAAGACTGTTATTGTGAAAAGCCCGTGGAAAACTAAATTTTATTTTCAAAAATTAAAAAATGTTGGTCACTAGACCATACTTCAAGTTCATGCAAAATATATTTGTTTTAAATTATACTATTATACATTGTCTTCATTTCATAGACCATCATAAACAAAGAAAGTAGGTTGCAGGTCAATATTTCGGTCAAATTATTTAATTTAAATTTCTGTTATACACCTGAAATTGTGCAATTGATCAAAAATGTCATAGCTGTATATAAAGAATGCAAAAGAGGTCACTTCATCATAATCTAGGTAAGCTGAAGTTTACATCTAAAATTGTGCACATGTTCCAAATTTCATAGCTGTACATCAAAGGACAAGAAGGTAAGTCACTTCATCAAAATTTAGGTCAGCTGATATCAAAGTTTAATTTTACATCTAAAACTGTGCACATGGTCCGAATTTCATAAACGTAGCTGTACATCAAAGGACAAGAAAGTAGGTCAACTTGGTAAAGGTCAACTTCACAATGTTTCATGCCAAATTTCTAACATCTAGTCTTTGTCATTACAGAGAAGAAGATTTTTAAAGTTTTTACTATACACATATAAGAAAAAACTATGACAACAGGGATAGAGCCAATTTTGACACTAAAGGCAAAATTTGAATAACTTTGGTAGAGAAACTATAGATGATACCATATACCAAATATCAAAGCTCTAAGCCTTTTTTCTTACCTTCAAGATACCCAAGAAGAATTTTTATAGTTTCTTATAAACATATATGTTATCACCCCAATTTGAACAATCTTGGAGTTAGACTTCTAACATTACCAACACAATGCTTCTATGGGCCAAATAATCTTTAACCCTCTTAGACTTGGTCATTCACCCACCCTCCTCCCTCCCACTGGGGTGGGGCAAATTTTGACACTAGAGACAAAATTTGAGCAAGTTTGGTAGAGGACCAACAGATGACATCATATACCAATAACAAAGCTCTGGGCCTTGTACTTTCAAACAAGAAGATTTTTTTAATTTGCATTTTTGAAACTCCTTTTCTGGCCCTGTAACCTACTTATGCAACAGACTGGAACCATTTAAACAACTTTGAAAGGGGACCACCCAAGGATCATTCCTGTAAAGTTTGGTTAATGTGCATCATTGGTTTCAGAGGAGATATTGTTTAAAGAAATTGTTGACGACAAACAACAGACAGACACAATAGCTAACCATGAGCATAGGATGGGGCCAATGTGAATAACAATGCACAAAAGATGACACAAGATGGACATCAGGCTATCACAAAAGCTTACCTCTGTAAATGTTGACAAGGTGAGCTAAAATTCAAAATTGAGCTACCCACAGTATAGAGCTAATCATACTGCACTGGCCTGACTCTATACTGGTAGCAAAGGCTTATCATCTCTCTGTTCCGGCAAGTAATAAGTTAAGTTTACCTGAACATCATACTGAGTTATAATATTCCTGTCAAACTGTGACCTCATTATCATTCTCACCATCTCAAAATTACTGATGTCATTGCCAATCTGAATCTCTGCATCCTTTAATATACAACATCATGTTCATTTCATATGTTTTGAGTTTTCAACATTGAAATAAAAGAATAAAGCAAGTAATAGACCATATTCTAGTCAGACCATACAGAAGTTCAGACAGGCATGCCTCTATACTTGAACCATAGCCAACTGGTACCTACTATTTAAAAATATTTTTTTACATTAAATCAGAAGATCATGTATATATTACATGTATATAAGAAATAAGAAAACAAAATTAATCTCAATATATTTTCCAATACATTTTAGTATATTTATGAAATGTAACAGATCAAATATGTCAATAAAATAAATCAAATGATGATGGAACTTTAAAAGACAGCATAATGATAATGTATTTTAATATTGAACTGATATTTTGTATGATATAGTAACAGTTTGTATGTGTATCTGTCAATACAAATCATATATCAAAGAATATTAAAAGGATCTACTAAAGTTGTCAATAGTTGTTGCTATGAAAGTCACTGGTTGCTCTAAAGCCAATGATAGAGCTATGAAAAAAGTATTTTAGCCCCTCTGACCAAGATATGGAGCAGAATCTGCCAATCTTTGATGTTTATACACAGTAGTCCCAAATCATCAAAGAAAGTGCCGAAACTTACATGACTTTCCACACAGTTTTAGTGTTCATCAGTGAAAAAACTGCTTTGGAGTACCTAATATCAACCAAGTTTATTTTTATGAACCATGTAAAAAAACGACAGCAAGAGTCCACAAACTTTTTGAACATACGTTGTATGCTGTTAAATAAGAAGTTAAGCTCTATTGAATCTTGGAAGCTCTATGTATGAAACAAAAATTACCTTTTCTCTGCGACTTCTAAATTTGGCTGTGACATTTTTGAACACCAAGTCTGGCTTGTTATGACTTGCCCATCCCGCTCTACAGTGATATGAACCTTTAAAAATATCAGTATAAACTGTAGATTCAAATTTTGACATTTGTCAACTATACCTGAACTACAGCTTAAAATCATGAATTAACATATGGTTTCAAAAGCATTTCACAGAAAAAATTTCAGACATTCCTGTGCTAAAATAAGATATACCTCAGCAAGTCTTAGCAAAACAAATATTTCATTTTATTGAGGGGACATACAGAACCAGAAAACTGCTCAGATCACAACTGCATATCAAACAAAGGGGAACAAACATACATGACAATGCTATCAAATCCAGTTGTTTTATCAACAAGAGCCATCACAAGTGGAACCCACACTCCTGGCTTTTTTATGCTTTATGGGGTGGGTTAAGGCCATTCAATAACCAATGTCATATCTGAAATACTGACAACTTGGTCCTAAATGTTGTTTTTATGTTGTTTTTAACCAATAAGTAACAAAGTTGTAGCAAATTTGATTAACTTTTTTAAAATATGATCTGCATGATCCAGCACATTTAAAGGGTATAAATAAAGCTATATCTAATGGAATATTTTCATAATTAACCATAATCTTCTGATTGACTTTAAAGAACAAAGAAGGTTTCTGTAATAACACACATGATAAATGTGCATAAACAGAATAAAATGTTATGGAACAAAATATTATGCTGCTATTTTAAGTTGGGTTTTAACAATTTAGCAATCATTCAGTGCATGTACCATTTGCTCATAAGAAAAAATACCAACATATTTCTTTCATACAGGCATTTTGGAATTTTTTTTTATCAAAATTCAAACAAAAATTTTATAAACTGAAGGCATAGGAGATATGATTAATTTATGTGGTATGATGGGTTCAACAAGTTGTGTCCAAATATTAATAAAATCAATGCAATAACAAACAAGTATAAGTAGATTACACAGTTACAAGTCACGTTACATGAACACGAGAGTTCGAGCGATCCATGTTTGAGGGATCTAAGGTAGAACAATATATGTTATATAGGAATTTTGCTGGGACTGGGCGATGAGATCGAGCGAAGGAAAGTATTCGAGCGATCTGAGTTAGAGCGAACGAAATTTAACAGTATCTCTTCAGCTAAGTCACTTTACCTACTTATTATTACTTGGAATAAGGCATGTTAAATGTTACACCTTGCAGCTTATATAGCCTCAGTCATTAAATTGAATATATACTATTACACTAGGTGTACAGTAATGTTAGAGTTATAACCACATTTTGCTTTGATGCTGTTTGACATAGATGACAATACTTAAAATGTATTTGTATTAGAAGACTCACAGTAAAATATCAGAAATTCTATCGAGCATGTCTGGCATTATAACTGTTAGATATCATATTAACTTAAGTATGTAAGTTATGAAATATGGAAAAATTTATTCAACAAAATCTTAATGGTCATATATAATACATGTATGTTACTTATAATAAACCATTATAAACTGCTAAGTAACCATTATGTAATATATATATGTTACTAACCATTGTCAATTACTAGTGGTACATGTTGATCTTTGATACTTGCAGTGTACTGAGTATCAAACTTCTCCGGCTTTTCATCTTTGAATGTGTAGATATTGGTCGGCTGTTTTTCTTCCATGGTATGATCAGCAAATATACACTCAAATATAATAATAGGATATTACTTTACTCATTAGTCTCAGCTTTTCATTTCTATAAAAAAATAAATATATCAATGAATCAGCTTGTTTATTTCCAAACCAAAAGATTGAAGGTAAATTATTTTTCTCATGTTAAAACCGTTTTTCCGACATGTCAAATAATCAAATTCCATATCATAATGCAAGTAATCATGGTTCTGCAGGGTGCTCTCTCCTTTATTTTTTTAACAGAGTATTTTCATTGGTCTAAGGTTTTCACACGACCAATGAAAAGACTCCATACGAATGCATCCGTTTATACTTTCATTTTGGATTGAGATTTGACAAATTGGAAAAACGGTTCGTTATAGTTTCATATGATGTTTTGATTGAACAGTTATTACAAATAATAATATAATTTTATCATATTTATATGCACAATACAAAATAATAAGCATTCATTTCAAATAAACTGCCGTTTAATCGGGTAATTTTGACAAAAAACCCACAATCGGGCAGGTCTCTGTCAACTTATACACTTGCGGTGACTTCGAAATTACACATATTCTTCTTATAAAAACTTGAAATGATTGTAATGGCAGCTTTGTTTCCTTTAAGAGTAATCAATTCCCTACCGTCTGGTACCAAGATTTAGAAAATTGTTGAAAAAATATGTATGGAGTTATGGATAATGGAGTTCATATGAAAAATGAGCAGCAAGTTACATACCTTTACTAAATATATATGTTATTAATTTTTTACTTTTTATGGGAAATGAAGGAAATTGAATTAAAAGAATATACCAAAAATTAAAACATCTTTCGAATGAAAAATACTGCAGTTTACATGGATTTGAGAGGTACATGTAGGAGGGTTGTAGAGTGGGTGAGGGAGGGGTGGGGCCCGGTGGTAGTAACCAATCAACAGGCCAAACACTTATGTCCCTAACCAGTAATGATTTGAACTGGTGTGTAGAATAAAATCATCACTTATCGACCAGCCTTAACAACCAATCAAATTCCACGAGATTACGAGAAAGCACCTGGTTCACTTAGAGGGTGAAGGTCAGTATATACAAGCAGAATATCTTTTGTTTTGCACACAGTTACGATCTTTCTTCCTTTATATTGCCTTAAAAACTGTGTATCAGGTTATAAAGTACTGTTTTATTAAAATTATCCAACTAAGTTTAGTCCTTAACCCCGAGTTCTGTCATTCTCGTTCATATTTGAGTAAATTTTTGGTCAGAGTAATTAATTTACAACCAAAAGATCAGAATTTATTTTTTCATTAAAATATATATGATACAAGTAATTAATAGTCTGTTGACATAAATTATCCCATAAGAGCTGATTTTAAGAAAATAATATTCATATTCGGTACTCCCGTTCATATTCGCGAATATGAATTCATATTCGGTATTTAGTCATACCGTTAAGCCCCCAAAATACGAGAAAACAGGATACACAACAAAACAGAGCATGCATGAACAAAAGTGACTTGATCTATTCATGACTCTTAATTTTGGTTAAAGCGTCACTGACTCGTGAGATTCAGACCCTACAGCAGGAAAATAAGGGCTCTCAGTAGTCTACTGACAACTCTAAATTTTGTAAAATGCCTTATAAATGTCCGCGACTGAAAATGAAAGTGAAATGTCTTGGGTAGCAAACGTTTGCGGCCGATACGGCATGGGCCGAAATGACTCGAAATCCATTTTCTCCTTTTATAGTATCTTTCCAATTGCCTTGCCTATCCCATTCCCTTATTTACATAATAACTTACTAGTAAGAATAAAAGTTAACCTTTTTTTAAAATCGCATTGTTTCTCATGTTGTTGTTGTTGTAGTTAACGTGGCTCGGTCTAAAACGCAGACTATTTTGTCGGGTACGTTACGATAGGCGAAATCAACTTGATTTCGTTAACTTTGCCGAAATCAACTTTTCATTACCGAAATCAACTCATAAAAACGAGCCAGGATTAATTATCTTGCTTATGTTTGCATTCTTGTACATAAATAACTTAAATTGACTTCCAGTAAAAAAATCTACGAAAAGAATTTTATTTTAATGATGTTATTAGCATAATAAATTCAAGCATTATTCAAATTACTTCCCTTGTTAGATACTAACCGAAATATATTTAGCATTACCGAAATCAATTAAGTACGTTATAATTATATAATATCTAATACTGTTTTTAAAATATTTGGATATGAATTAATGAATACAACTTATAAGTAAACCTTTTTGGGAAGATATTTTGTTTCGATGATGGTATTATAATATATTATTTGAACCCACATAAAGCTGTAGGACCCGACAACATAAGTCCTCGCATCCTCAAGGAATTGGCATCTGACATCGCTCCAATACTCAACACCATCTTCACTCTGTCACTTAAAAATAGCACCATCCCTAATAACTGGAAGAAAGCCAATGTATCCCCAGTCTACAAGAAAGGCAGCAGATATAAACCAGAAAACTATCGCCCTATCTCCCTAACATGCATCTGCTGCAAGCTCCTAGAACACATTGTCACCAGCCACATCATGAATCATGCCGAAAAAAAAAGATTCTCTATCCTCTCCAACACGGCTTCAGAAAGGGCAGATCCTGTGAAACACAGCTTCTTTAATTCACAGATGACATAACCCGGAACATGGAAAATGGCAAACAGACTGATGTTCTCATCATGGACTTCGCCAAGGCCTTCGACAAAGTTTGTCACAAATAAACTGTATATAAATGAAAGTAAAATCATCTCAAAAACCATCCGTTCATAATTATTATATAATGTTATTTTAACCATTGTTTTCTTCTAACGTTCTTTTTATATTCTCTCATCAACTTCAAAATTTATACTATAAATGTAATGTGAAAATCTTATGTCTCCTTTTATTTAATCTTATGTCTCCTTTTTGATCTTATAAAATGTTTAAAGATTTATTGTATGATGTGTATTTGCATGGTTATGTATGATTATATGATTGTATGTTTCGTTGATTTATTAATAAATGGGGTTCCACATTTGTGGACCTGAAGCAAAAAAAAAAAAGAAAAAAAAGTTTGTCACAGCCTTTTATCCCACAAACTGGAGCACTACGGCATCAGAGGCAAGACCAACTTCAGGCTTTCTTAAGCAGCTGATCCCAATCTGTAGTCTTGGAAGGGGTAACCTCAGATACAGTATCTGTAGAATCCGGCGTCCCACAGGGCTCAGTCCTTGGCCCGAGTCTGTTCCTTTTCTACATAAATGACATTCCAGAGGGTCTCAACGCAGTCGTCCGACTATTTGCAGATGATACGCTGGCCTATCTTGCCATCACAAACAAGTCTGACTGTTCCACCCTACAAGCTGACCTCGACAAATTAGCTGTCTGGGAAGAGAAATGGAAAATGTCATTCCATCCAGACAAATGCCAAGTCCTCACCATCTCCAAGAAAAGAAGCCCCATCTGCCATAACTACACTCTTCATGGTCATACTCTAGAGCACGTCACATCAGCTAAATACCTTGGATGCACCCTGAATAACAACCTAGACTGGGGCCAACATATACATAACATTTGTAACAAAGCCAACCGCATCACCAGCTTCCTGCGAAGAAACCTCAACATCGCCTCTACTTCCACCAAAGAAACGGCCTACAAAGCTCTAGTCCGCCCCACAGTAGAGTACGCGAGCACTGTCTGGGACCCCCACGAGAAGGGAGACATACACCGTCTAGACATGGTCCAACGACGTGCTGCACGGTATGTTAAAAACAAGTACCACAACAGGTCCAGCGTCACAGACATGCTTGCAGACCTTGAATGGAAACCATTACAAGAACGTCGAAAGGAGGCCAGACTGATCATGCTCTACAAAGTCATCAACAACAAGGTCGCTCTAGACAATTCACAACTCATACCCTCCAACTCCACATCTACAAGAAATTCACACAACCTAACCTACAAGATACCCTACTGCCGTACACAATACCGTCAACAATCCTTCTTCCCACGTACCATCAAAGACTGGAACAGCCTACCTCCAGACGCTACGTCAGCCGGTACAGTTGAGTCATTCCGTACTCATCTGTCCCAACTCTATATCTAAACCACACTCTTGTCCGTTTTTAACCTGCACTGTATATATTCCTCACTATTTTTACTCTTTCTTTCCGTCTTGCGCATTAACCTGGCAGTAAACTTCAGTTAGTTGAAGGTGGCCAGTATATTGGAAGAAGAAGAAGAAAGAAGAAGATTTACCTCCTTTGTTTGACACATCGAATACATTCAATGTACGTAGAGAAACTAAAATAAGTAAATGATTGAAAATCTCATCTTATTTGTTTAATATCATTATTGAAGGAAATTGAAACAAGTAAATTTGTTTAATAGTAAAATGTCAATGTAAATAAATGAGCAATTGAATAGATATTTATTCAGATTTGTTTCTACTTTTAAACAATAATTTTTATTTTTTTTTTGAAACAATTTTTACTCATCTTTTTCCTTTTTTAAAAAATTGTTCTGAAATATTAACATTTATATACATTATCATGCATTAGAAAATGGATTAAAAATTGCCAGTTACAGAACATTTACGTGATTATGTATATTACTTTCTGATAATTGTCCCAATACATAAGAAAGGTGATCATGATAATCCCTCGAACTACTAGGCATCACTTTTGTAAATTGTATGGCAATTTTTTTTTCGTTAATATTGCGCAATAGAATTAATAAATGGTGTGAGTCAGAAAGAATTTTCAGCGATATTCAGTTTGGTTTTAGAGATTCTAGATCAACCTCTGATGCTATTTTTATTCTTCATGCCGTAATTCAGAAAGTTTTAGCAAAAAATTCTAAACTCTATTGTATTTTCATTGATTATGAAAAGGCTTTTGACACAGTTATAAGAGATGCGTTATGGATTAAGCTGTTAGATACTGGTATTAGTTGTAAAATGATAAATATGTTGAAGGCAATGTATTCGTCTGTAGTGTCATGTGTAAAAATTAATGCTTTTATGAATATGTCAGAATTTTTCGACGTAACTCTTGGATTAAAGCAAGGTGAGCCATTATCTCCCCTGCTGCTATTTATTCTTTTTTTAAATGATATTGAAAAATGTATAGATCTTAACAAAAAGTCGAATAGCGACCTTGAGCTATTGTCTAAATATTTGCTACTTTTTGCAGACGATATCGTGCTTTTCACTACAAGTCCAGAGAGCTTGCAAGCTCAAGTTGATAATGTATATAGTTATTCGTCAAAATGGGGGCTTAAATTAAATGTTAATAAAACTAAAGTATGTGTTTTTGAAAGAAGGAAATCTGTACATAATTTTAGTATAAACATTGACGGTCAGTTTGTAGATATTGTTGATAATTTTTCATATTTAGATGTAAAATTTTCTTATACAAGTAGCTTTTCTAAAGCAACTAAGACTCTTGCAGAGCAAGGCTTTAGAGCATATAACAGTCTATTGGGTATTTTTGACAGGATAAAGCTAGATGTTAAAACTAAACTGCACCTTTTTGATAGTCTGATAACTCCAGTTCTGTTATATGGTTCAGATGTATGGGGAATTTACAAATATAAAGATATTGATAAACTGCAAATAAAATTTTATAAATATGTACTTGGTGTCAAAAAACAAACTCCTAAATGTGTTGTATATGGAGAACTTGGTAAATTTCCTTTGTCAATTTTATGTAAAGAAAGGTCTTTAAAGTTTTGGAATGAAATTGTTAATAATCTGCATTCGCCTATATAAAGCATGTATTTAGATCAATGTGTAAATGGTAATAATAAATGCTGGGCTAGGCAAGCTCATACTATTATAAATGAGTTAGGATTTTTATATTTGTTAGATAACTATAATGTTATTTCTGATTTTAGCTTAATTTCCAAACAACGCATTAGAGATCAATTTATACAAAATTGGCATGAGCAAATAAATAACATGCCAAAACTCTTTTATTTTAGGAATTTCAAATCAAATTTTTGTTTTGAGGAATATTTAAATGTAATACAGAATGACAAGTTAAGAAAACGTTTGGCATGTTTCAGACTTGGTTCCCATTCTCTAGAAATTGAAACTGGCAGATATATAGGTTTAAACAGAAATGAGAGAATATGTAAACTTTGTACTCAAAACATGATAGAATTAGAATATCACTTCCTGCTTTGTAGTCCATTTTATTCAGAATTAAGAAAACTTTTTATTCGTAATGCATCTTTTCCCACACTGAATAAGTTTTATTATATCATGTCATCTAATAATAAACATAGATTATTACTAATAAGTAAGTACTTGGACAAAGCTTTTGATTTACGATCTAATACCATGGAACAAATGATAAATAGACGAAATTTATGATAGATTATTAATACTACTTTGTTATTTGTTAATTTAAAAACGAATACTGATATTTGAAATGTTTATATATGTATCTTGTAGTTATGTGTGCTATATTTCACGATCTATTTATGTATATGTTTTGTATGTATTGCCAAAGGCAAGGATTTGCCGATTTGCAAATAAAATTTGAACTTGAACTCTAATCCCATTATGCAGTCTATTAACACCTGTTATCTACAATAAACATCCATATTTATCAGATCAAGTAAGTTTGTAAAAATTGGTAAGGTATATAATATGTGTTAAAAAAATTGTCAAAAATTCTGTTTTAACTAACATGTAGGGGTGGTCGCTATACGTTTCCGTACTTCCCCTATGCAAACCGAAATCAAAATAAATATACAGAAATCGACGTGTATAAAAGTAGATGTTTATTGTAGATA